TAGCAATAATGTATTTATTTTTTTTACTTAATTTAGTCAAAAAAAATGTAACAAATTAGTCTTTAAATTCATATCTATCTAATCATTTTATTCAAGTTTTGTTATTGTCTGTTTGATCTACTTATCTTTTTTTTTTTAACTATTTGATATTATATAATGATTTTCATTCATTCAGGGCTTTTTTATTAATAATTTTTTGATTACTACATAACTATTGGAATATTTTATAATGGTATGTGTGGTTTTAAAATAATGTTTATTAATGCTTTTTTCCGATTTTCACTGATCCCCATAACAATCATTTGAAGACACTATTTTTGAAAACAAATAAGATACAAAAGTGCACATATGAGGATATGAAGAAGCGTGTAATTTAATATCTTGAGAAACTCGTTTTAGGTGATATCTGTCACATATTGTGAACATTTATATGAAGAAAAAACATCTAAAAACAGTTATAAGTTGATGCTTTTGTTTCTGAAAATTGAACTGACAGCTTTTTAAACATGAAACTCTCAGCAAACCTTAACTTCACGGTTAAATTTATTAAATATGCCAAGTCAATGTCAAGTGCTTTTAGCTTTTTCTTAAGTCTTGCAGCATCTGCAGATGTTCTTAATAAGGATTGAATAAGCTGTTCTGGCCAAGATCGACATGCAGTAGGTGTCCTTGGACTCTTGCCTGTTTATTGAGAGGGGGGGAAAGTCCCCTTGTCAAACTAACTGTCGTTATTGTGACAGGCGTAATGATTTATTGTGCTGTTTTGCTGCTAATAACAAACTATATGTCAAGTTTTTAGGTTAATAAAACCAGTTTCATGGCCAAACTCACCTCTCAAATGCTTGAATGGTGTAGCTTATCAGAGGTCTGTTAAAGATGGAGCAGAATTGTTTCGGTGTGGTCAGTCCCATCCTCTCCCCGGAGCCTCCGGCGGGCAGAACGGCAGCTACCGGGAAATCCACCACCGCGCGCCCGGGTTGGTCGGCGCTCCGCTCGGCGTCTTGTGGTAGGAGACACCCGGGGTCCAAGGGCCTGTCGGAGGAAGAACAGCGCTCTTGCTGCATTTTTTCCTTGGTTTCAATTAACTCCGCATTTGTGGCAGCCGTATTCATGTGAAGAACCTGTTAACCTGCATTCTGCGTGATTGGTGGGGGTGAAACGGAGTTTGTGGCGGTAATGTTGCAGCTTTCCCCGGTAACTCTATCAGACGCTGCCTGTCCAGCACCCATCATGGGACCGCAGCAGCTGTGGCGGTCTGAACTATCGCACTTCGCAAAGAATCGTTTACTGTTTATTCAAGTAATATTCAATTTAAAAAAATCACGGTCTGACGTTAACGTGTGTCAAATGTGGGCATTTGACTCATTTCGACAGGGTTTATCAATTTTAGCAAGTCTTAATATGGCAAGCCGTTTTCACATGTATTGATTCTATAAAAGCGACAAGTGGATGACGACGTTATCAAATGTTAAGTATTAATAAAAATAGTAAATTTATTTTAATAGATATATTTTCATTAAAGAAAATGTACTGTTTTATGGAGAAAACCTGCAAAAACAATAAATAAATATGCAAATATATAAATAAACGAGTAAATAAATCCATAAATTCCTGCATAAATAAAACTATAAATAAATAAATATGCTAATAAATAAATAAATGTATATATAAAATCCACAAATTCCTGCATAAATAAATATATAAATAGTTAATAGTGCTGGAAAGTAAATATTTACATAAATTACACGAATGTTGGAGGAATAAGAAAATGCTACACTCAAAGTTTTATCCCCTCCTTTCAAACGTTTATTCTTGAACATAGTTCTGTATTTACTTTTCCTTAGCTCAACGTGCTAATGAGAGGCTGTCTGTCAATCATCAGAAGCCAGTCAAAAAAATCAAATGCAAAATCTTTCTAACGATCAACCAATGATGGCATAAACTCTGCCTTCTGATGATTGACAGACACCCTCTCATTAGCATGTTAACCTGAGGAAAAGTACATTTGCAACTATGTCGATAAAGCTTTAAAAGGGGGAAAAATCTACTTTCAATTTAGCTTTTTCTTATTCCCCCAACATTTTTGTAATTTATGTAATTAATATAGTTTTTTTTGCAGGAATTTATGGATTTATTTACAAATTTATTTATATATTTCCATATTTATTTATTTATTTATTGTTTATGCAGGTTTTGTCTAACATACTATTTATAAATTATTGTAAATTTGCTATTTTTATTTTGCAAACGCACATTGCTATTCTTTAAGGTGAAAAGTTACACCATTGAAAAAATGGTTTTAGTAATCTTCAAAGTCTAACCATTTGCCTTTGGAGTGCCAGTTATTCTGTGTTGACATATTGACGCATCAGCCACAATTTTCTTAATTACGCCCTTTTACAGTATGTTATGATGCACAAAAAGAAAGCCCCTTCCCTACTCAGTGTTTGAAAAACAGTACCCATATACTACTTTTGACGAGATTCTGAAGTGTGCATCCAATGGGCGCTACGCTTTCCCATAGTACAACATAAAAGAATTCATGAAGTTCAGGGAGTGAAGCAATGCAACTGATGCGAGTAGATCACGTGATAATGACAAATAGCAGATGTGGTACATCCGAGTTCCATTCATACTCACATTTATACTATATAAAACAGACTTTTCTAAAAGTTGTGTAGTAAATTTAAAATTAAATGTAGTACATACTTAAGTAGGAGCAGATTTTAGACGTGTTCTATAAAGACATGTCACTCGTAGTTTTGAATGGGGAAAAGTTTAACTTCAAAATGGCAAATGAAGCTCCGCCTACTATTACAGGAGCCAATCATCGATGACTATTAGACTGACATTTCTCCAGGGGAGGGGCTCTGACCAGACTGGTGTTCTTTACAACAGTTTCTGTGGTTATTTATCCTCTAGTCTGGAGTCAGCAAACGTACTGGAATCTCTGTGAATATTTACATCACAGACATTAGAAATATATCCCTAGAAAGCTTAATCTCTATCTTTAAATGAACCAACTACACTTGAAAACAAATATTTTTTTGGTGTTGTAATCTGCATGAAATGAACACAAGGTACAGTCAGTCCTGTCAAACGCACATCACATAACAGCAACTAGTCGAACGCCCCCAAAAAACACCCACAAACTTGTAAACAAAGCGGCTGTTTTGTGAGGAGATTTGCCATCAAGAGCAGTTTGTGAATTACTGAATGACGAGGCATTATTCAAAGGATGATAAAGTGTAACACAGCCATAAGGTGTTGTGATCTTGGTCCCTTCGAGTGCAGATGCGCCTGACAAAATGCAGATTTTGTTTGATTTGAATGTTTAAAAATGAAACTTAAGAAGCAGTTGGTATTTATTTTATTGGTGATTCTAAATATGAAATGTAATCATAATCTTAGCAAACAGTTTTGGAGAATTTGATGTCTTCCCATTCAAATAGAATGCCCGAGCATATTGTCCGAGAGGCATTTTAAAGATGGCTGCTGAGGGAAATGCCTTAAAGAGACTTTGAACATACTGAAATAAAACTCGCAGCATCTTCTGGTTCATGCGGACGTTCAATAGTAAAGATGCAACCGTTTATGATAAAAAAAAGTTACTAAACTAAAAACTAGTAAAAAGAACAAGCCTAAAAATACTAGTAACTAAAAATATTAATTTGTTTCTAAAAAAAATAGAAAAGAATACATTTTCATTGTTGATGCCTTGATTTAATGTTGACTTTTATTTCACCTTTTAAATCTAACGATTAATTAGCAGTAATTCAGTTACTATTTTGTAAGAGAAACTAGTTGGTAAACTATAGTAACTAATGCTAAAAATATTTCTTAAATTCAGCATTGTCCTATTTTCCCCTGTCATGACGTTTCTTAAATGAGAAAAAAACTAGAGCAGTGCATGATTTTGTTCTTTAGGAACCGATTGGATTGTTGGAAGGTGGGTTTGCTAACAAAATGGAGGAATATTTGAGTGCCAGTTTGCATTCTTGGTCAGATTACTGTCCACCGGATTTACTGTCGGCACCCTTTTGTGTAGAATGTTTTCAGATGCCTGATGATGACGAGAATGAGAAGTTACATTTTTTGTTCAAACAAAGGCCTCCCGCGAAGGCAGGGCACAAATGAAACACACACAGATAGCTCCACCCTAAAGGCATGCCATGTGACCAGAAGTGAAGAAAAGTAGTTTTGTGCGGGAAGCAAGCACCATTATATACATAATATTAAGAAAAGTACATGTTGATTTCATGCTGACTTCAATGTGTTGCTAACCTGCTCCTAAAAAAGGTACCAACTAGTTTTCAAGAGTTCACACTTAGCTGACTTTGCCCTGAGCTTACAAGATCCTCGAGCCCAGGGCTCTTTCCTGTTTGCAAGGTGAGAGGGGAGTTTGAGCTCAGGTAGTTTTCGAGAACTCCCCTGCTGTAGTAGCTAATGAACAGATAGTGATTGCTCTTAAGAGATAAACACTTACTAGGAGCATGTTTATGGTGCTGACTTAGATTAGTCAATTAACTTAAGTTGCATGTTTTTGGACGGTGGGAGAAAACAGGGGAACCTGGGGGAAACCCACGTGAGCACAGCTTGTGAAAATATGAATAAATCATCCGATCCTTTGCATGCCACCAATCACATTCAAATGTAAGATGTTGCCAAAATTGGATTTAATATAAATAATAATATTAATTTAATTATTTTATGTATTTCATTATATAAAAATAATTAATTAATTTTGTTATGTATTTTATTATATTAAAATATAATATAATTAAAATGCATTTTATTATATTAAAATAATATGATTTATATTATTATCGATTTTCTGATAGTTTAGAATGGATTTTATCACCTGTTCTTTAGTTTATTTTATATAAACTTTTTCCTATACATTAAAAACAAACTTAGGTCTTGGATAAAGTCAATAAGCATAAATAGGAGTTCACAATGTGTCAACCTCATCCAGATGCCAATGAATATACTGACACGTCTGCAGATGTTTTCATTTTAATAGTTTTACATCATAATAGCTCATATGAACATTGTCACTATAGTGCAATATCTTGTCTGAATAATGCTTGCACAAACTAAAAATATTTTAAAGTCAGCAAAGTCAAGGCAAAATATATTACATCCGCTTTTTTAACACATAGAGGTCCTGCAAAACGATTAATAACAAAGAAATGCATAGGCATATATACAAACATTGTATTTACAGGTAGCTATGCATTTCTCGGGTTTGAGAACTACATGTATTGACGCTGAACACATAAACTTACAGCATAAACTACAGCAAGTGATTGCCACACATATGAGACGGAGACAACAAAAGCAATCAGGATCACGAGTCTGTTTCTAATCATTTTTGTAAGGCAATATGCTGTTGTCATTGTCCATCTCTTCCAGCACAGGGTCACAAAGGCCTCATGTTAATTGTGATTATGTTGATGTCTTTCACAGTGAACTCTGAGCCCTGCACTTGCTCTCAAAGAAAGTTCAGTGCCAGCAATTCTATATTAAGGTCAGTTCAAGCAGAGACTTATTTAGCTTTCTGTCCTGGTGGCCACTTTGCTTTTCTGTTTTTTGATCTGGCTATGAGAGTATCCCTCAGACTTAACTCCTGATTCATTGTGTTGCCGCGAGTATCGTTTGCATTTGCAGGAGGTCACCACTGTGATCTTGTAGGTCCTGGTGCTGCCATCCTGGCACTGGAGCTGAATCCGCTGAGTTCGGGTCTTGTCATTTACACAGCGCCATTCCTGACTGTTCCGGCGGTTCCAGGACTTCTTGCCGTATCCTCCAATCCAATTGGGCAGCATCTGAGCGGGGAGGCACTGTCCTGTGCACACCAGCTCTTTCACAGGGTTTATGCTGGTGCACTGGCCATCTGAGATGTACTTGGTGGATCGGAGCTCTCTGCAGCCTACTGGGATTCGTTCTGCAAAACAAAAGTAAAAAATACCATGAAATCGAAACCGATCTATTTGAATCCAAACTCATTGGTTGTGTTTGTTCATGTTTTACCGAAAAATGAGCTGAAGCAACTTGCAATTTCTCTCTCAAGAGAAGGGAAAATTGTTCTGAGAAAAATGTTATAGCTGATTTTATATATTGTTAAAATAATATATACACATTATAGAAATGCTGGATTGTTTCAGTCCAAGTTTGGGTGAAAAAAAAAATGTATATATATATATATATATATATATATATATATATATATATATATATATATATATATATATATTTTTTTTTTTTTTTTTATCATTGAATTTTTGTGGTTTACTATTGGTCAATGTCATTATATCTGATGTGATTGACAGGTAACCCTGCCCCTGTGCCAATAAACATGTCATCAGAGAACAGATGTTGTTGCAAGAGGGGGAGATTATAGGAAATTGATATTTTAAAAACAATAATATTTACATTCTAGAAATTGCGGGGTTATTTCAGCCCAAATTTGGGTTAAATATGGTTTAAATTTTGACTTCTGGTTGAGTTTGTTCATATTTTATTATTCTTATTATTTTGTTCATTGTGTGTGTGTGTGTGTGTGTGTGTGTGTGTGTGTGTGTGTGTGTGTGTGTGTGTGTGTGTGTGTGTGTGTATACATTAAATTATTTTGATGTGTATGTGTATTTTTATTTTTATGTGTATATGTATTTTTATGTGTATGTGTTTTTTTATTTTTGTGTATGTGTATTTTATGTGTATGTGTATGTGTTTTTTTATTTTTGTGTATGTGTATTTTTATGTGTATGTGTATTTTTAAATAATATACACATTCTAGAAATTGCTGGGTTGTTTCAACCCAAATTTGAGTAAAATAAAAAAATTGTAACTCAATGGTTGGGTATGGGCGATGTGGTGGCGCAGTAGGCAGTGCTGTCGCCTCACAGCAAGAAGGTCGCTGGTTCGAGTCTCAGCTGGGTCAGTTGGCATTTCTGTGTGGAGTTTGCATGTTCTCCCCGTGTTCGCGTTGGCAGGACTAGTTGTCCCCTACAAGTCCAAAGACATGTGGGACAGGTGAATTGGGTAAGCTAAAATTGTCAGTAGTGTATGTGTGTGTGAATGAGAGTGTGTGAGGGTTTCCCAGTGATGGGTTGCAACTGGAAGGACATCTGTTGCATAAACCATGTGCTGGATAAGTTGGCATTCATTCCACGGTGGCAATCCCTTAAAAAAGGGACTAAGCCGAAAAGAAAATGAATGAATGAATGGTTGGGTATGTCCATAACCAAATTTGGGCTCAAACAACCCAGCAATTTGTAGAAAGCATAACTAGATGCATTTATAGAATGTATCTTTGCTCAAAACAATTTCTCCTGTTCTTGCAACAGCATCAGTTCTCTACCTAATCACATGTTTATTGGCGCTGGGGCGGGGCAACCTGTCAATCATAAGCGATTAACCAATAGCAAACCACAAATATCCAAGAATCATTTCCCACAGTTAAAAATATTCCAGGTTTGCCCTAAATGTTACGTTTTTGGAAAATTCATTTCACTCACATATTTGTTCAAATTCTACCTTTATGACTTTATTAGTGTGCACAAGTCATGTTGGTAGGAATTTTAACAATTAAACAAAGAAAATGCAGTGTTTTAAAATCAAAATTACATGTACAAAAATGCTGTATTAATACACAATTAGCCTATATGCGTTGAAATATATAACATTGATTTTATATGTAATTTTTTGAATGTACTTTAAATGGATAAAACAAGTCTGTGCATGAAGCCATTGTTTACATCCTTATTACATTTAATCCCACATCTTTGCATTCATAAAACACTGGAGTGCAAGTTTTTTGCTCCATATAACATTCACCAAACACCAAACTCTGTGAAAAGAGTTTTCAGAAGCAGTAGATCAAAAGCAATAACACTGAATTTACATACATTTTCTTGCAGAGACGGATCACTTTGTTTAATGAAATTTCAATGTATCATCAGGAGCCAAATGTATTCATTTTGTTTTGCCTGCATGTTTGTTTGTTTGTTTTTGCGAATCTCAAAGTATGCGTGTACCCATTGCCTTGCATTTTATGAATCAACAAGTATGATGAATTTCAGCTAAAAACCTTTAATGTTCTTACTGAATAAAAAAAGTCACCTACACTATATCTTGGATGGCCTAGAGGTGATCACAATTTTTAAATGAATTTCCTTTTTAAGACTTGGCAACTTCCCATAGAAGACTGACATAAATCTTTCAACATCTATAAAGAAAGACTTCTACAACACACATCCTAAAGTGTTCCTTCACGGCTTATGATTACGCCTAAACAACAGCGGTATGGATGATGTACTTTTGTTTGCTTTATCTCGGCCCTTCTCTGAACTGAGCGGAAATAGCGTACAGATGAATGACGGCTCTGAGCCTCTTATTATAGTCGGATTTGGCCGCTGCTCCTGGCTATACTATCAGCATTGTTCTTCCTCCGAGCAGTGCCTCCTGTCAGTGTGTAACCCAAGCCAAAATCCATTCACACAGCAGCAACACACCTCAGTTACAACGTGCCCCCCTCGCCATGACAGGACTTGATGAATGGGGGATTGGAGAGGCATTTTCTTCCTTCCCAATTCAAGTTAAGGCTGTTCAAAACAAACAGGGTTCCCCCTGGAGACTTCCTGAAAAATTGAGCTGCACCTTCATTCCTTCTGTCTGACAGGATTTGCTATGTGGACATTGAGCTCAGCACTCTTTTATCACTTTAATCTTGGTTGCGAGCCAAGACTGTGTAATCTGTATCATTTCCTCTAGTAATGTGTCTTATCATCATCCCATGAATGTTTGGCTTCCTGCTTGGAATGCAAGATACAATTAATTGATTGCATATCAGAATTAATTTCATTGTAAATGAAAAAGACTGATTAATTGTGATCACTTGTGGGAAATTAATCTTTTTTTTTCTAGGCCAATAATGGACTTTATTTGTTATAAATATGTCTATAGAGAAACTGAATTTCAGACATACATCTTCATGAGATTTATTAATCAGAGTAAAAGTCTCCTCTAAAAAGCACTACCCAAAAAGTTTACCCAAAAATGGAAATGTACTACTTAACGTCAAATGGCTCCAAACTTTTAGAAGTTTCTTTCTTCTGTAGAAACTCAAAGGAAGATATTTTGAAGAATGTTGGAAAGCATATTGTAGGTTTCCAACATTCTTCTAATCTTTTAGTTACAACAGATAAAACTCAAATCTGTTCACAAGAGAAGGGCGAGTAAATGAGACAGAAATTTCATTTTTGGGTGAACTGTCCCTTTAAAAAGTACACTTTAACCTTACTTTATATTTTGTGAACGAGATTTTTAAAAATTAGAACATTTAGTTCAGATTTATGGAGAAATGCTAATCTAAATGTTTATTTGTTCAAATAATTAGTTCTATAGACTTGGAATTCAAAATGGGACTAAAAAAAATCAAATTTTTCGTTTATTTAGTTGCTTTGTTGGAAAATACAATGTGAAAGAGTACAATGTGCACTGTTTTACCTTTAATAATTCCACCAATTAAATATTTTGCCAGTACTACATTTACGCCGATGTTAATTTACTGACGTTATTATTCTGATATGAATTTAAGCTTATTTGTCCTGTCAAACGAATACATTCATACGACTTTACTCTAAATCTACACTCAAACAGTTGAGAACAATCTCTTTAAATGCTATTTCTTCAAAGGAAACGCTGTAATATCATCAATAACCAGTATTAAATTGAGTGTAAAGTGGTGGAATCGAATGATGCGCGTGAACTCACCTCTGTCGTGCGTGCTGAAGCCTCTTCCTCCGGAGCGCGCGCGGTTGAGAGACGCGTTGCTCTGCGCATCCTGAACGGGACTGACCACATGCGAGTAGAAAATCTCCGTAGCATCGTTCTTCAAAGTCAAACCACTCCTTATTAAAAAGCAAAATAAAACCATGAAATTGCACGACTCTGGTGCGTTTATATACATGGCGATGCGTAATGACCCACGGCCAATGGAGAGATGTGCTTCAACTCTGAATGACTCTCACTAACTATCATCATGTCTTGGGTTATATATATTCAGTATATATACACACTCCCGCCTCCGGATTTGGCAAAGGCTCAGGTGAGCGGGATGATAAAATAAGGGCAGGACGTCTCCCTCTCTCTAAACCACACCCAGAGAAACACTGACAACATCTGGAGGCAAATGAATGGCTCTGGACTCCCAGAGAGCCCCTAATTCACTTAAATCTGTGCTGTTAAACACTCGGCTCTTTTTACAAGCAAACTTTGTGCATGATTTTTTTAAGTGTTGCAAACATATTTATTGTTAACTGACTTATAAAAACTGACAAGGAAAACATTACTTCCATGTTTAAAGCATTTAATCAATCTGACCATATGATGCGATCTGTTTGTTGAAAATGAGGTGAAAACGACTTTATTATTTCCCAAAAATATATAATATTGAATGACTGACTGATTGATTGATTGTTTGACTGAGTGACTGATTGATCAACTTAACTATAATTAGCTAAAATGCCTATTTTTAAATGAGAGCACCATGGCTATTTAAAGCAACTAGGCCTAAAGATACATTTGATGTCGTTCTTTTTCTGGCTTATCTGCACACACTTTCTTTCCTTTTTCTAAAAGTCAATTCAATAATTGCAATTTAAAAAGATCATATGCTATATTATTAGAAAACACAGTAAACACGGTAAATAGCAGTAGTGGTAAAAGATATAGATATGCAATATATCATATTTTTCATATATTCATAAAATGATAACAGATGGCGAAGAAGTGGATTTGATTTTAATGTTTTAATGAAATATATAACAATATGAACGATATGAAAAATAATAACAATAACAATATTATTAGCCCCCTTTATAAATGATATCTTTTTTGATTGGCCACAGAAAAATCCACTGTAGTCCAGTTGTTTGCCTAACGTTATAATTCAAAACCAAGCACTTTGAGCTGAATACAAGCTATTTAAATAATTAGTAAAATATTACTGTCAGTATAGCCTAACACATGGGAAATAGTCTTAGAACTGAACAGGAGGGCTGACTATATTTATATCATCTCCTGCTATACGTGTCTTGTAAAATGAGTGAAAAGATTTGGTACGTTACATATATACATGTGTCAGTTGAATCAGTTGACCGTTGAAATTAAAAAAATTTAAGCCAACTGGTTGAGTTTTTAAATAAATAACCGAATAAAGGTTAAAAATAACCCAACAAAGCACCAAACATTTTGAACTCAACCATTGGGTTAAGTACCCTCGACTATTGTCCACTATTCCATGCAAAAAAATATATGACGGTGTAATGCAGAAGCAAAACATAAATACTATTAAACTTACCTTTGCGTCTCGTGGTGGAACTGTAACAGCATTTTGAAGAGACGTCTGCCCTCCCATGGACAAGAAAAGCAAAGTTTGCGAATGTGACGGAGACAAGACAACTGAATTGTTACCGTTATTATGACGCTCCTTAAGCGCGCGCATGAATATCATCCTCTGTTATGATTATCAGTCAAACAAGAGTGATGCGTGTCTCCTAGAAACCGGTCAGACTCGACGTTCAGACATGGAGTCAAACAGACAGGTAGACTACACTGAAGAGCTGTTCTCCGTTATTTAGTATCATTTTGTTCTTTGTTTTTACCTTACAGACAAGTAGACTACATTGAAAAAATAAGTTGTTCGTTATTTAGTATCATTTTTTTCTGTTATGCTTTGTCTTCCCCTCACAGGAAAATCTTGTGTCAAAGTGTGTTATAATTCACTGTGACACCGATGTGACCCACCTTCATCTCGCTAAAAGGTGCTTCAAAGAAAACTAGAAATAAGTCTAATAACATAAAGTGCTTAAATAATAAAGTGTAGACCGAAAACATTTAACATATTTATAATATTTTAACATATTTATAATATTATATAATGCATATGTGGCCGGGAAGCAGTCATATCAAAAGCAGTCATATCAATGGAAATCAATAAAAAGTTTGAGTAATCAACGTACTTTCATGTGATGGATACATCTAATTTTTCAAAACTGTACCCAGCATTTTTTAAAAATTAGATGTATACATCACCTGAAAGTACGTCAAATACACAAATTTATTGTTTGTTAGGATTAGACAACATTTGGCTGACACAAAAAAAAAAAAAATCTGGATTCTGAGTGTTCGAAAAACAGTATATCAAGAAAATCACATTTACAATTGTCCACATTAAGATAGAAATGCATATCACTAACAAACATATTCAGTACGGTTTAATTTAAGCATTGTTATATATTTAAATTTTACATGCATTACAAGAGGATTGACTTCTGTTCCGGATTTATCACGTTTCTGCATGCTGAGATGTGTGTGGCTCAATGATAACAAGGTTAAATTTGAAATCAATCTTTTATATCTGATCACTAGCTTCTGCATTTTAAAATTGGGTTCAATAGTAAATCTAGTGCATTTTCCTGCTATATGGGCTACTTTTAATTTAGTTTCAAGTTACTTTCTAACCTCCACAGATCCTAGAAGTTACCAGAGCCCCATTTAACTGCTGTTTGACAGAACTTTACCTGCAGAACAATGACATTCTCTCCATTTCAGGTCAGTTGATCCTTTTTTTTTTCTTTTTTTTTTTGAATTTCTTCATGCGCTCTCCTAACTGAGCTTCTTTCTGTCTAACATGCTTTAAGGAGCACTGAGACACCTGACATGTCTGCGTGTGCTGCTCCTGTTCAATAATCAGATTAAGTGTCTAGAAGAAACTGTGGTGGAGCTGAAGAACATGCAGGAGCTCCACACTCTCTGTGAGATCATCAGTTCTCTTTTAAAACAGGAAATCGACCATTGTATTTACTTAAAGATTAGTATCACTAATGATCAGAATTTGAAAAATGACAGTTAAAGGTGTAGTTGACTTAAAAATGAAAATTACCTCATCGTTTATCCTCCCTCATGGGGTTTTAAACATTCCAGTTTCTTCTGTTGAACACAAAAGAAGATATTTTGAAAAATGCTTGGTTATCAACTTCCACAGTATGGAAAACAATACTATGGAAGTCAATTGGTGCTGGCTACCAGCATTTGTCAAATTATCTTCTTTTCCGTTCAAACAGAAGAAACTTAAATGGGTTTTAAATAAGCGTAAAGAGTTGTATAAAGTAAATAATGGCAGAATTTTCATTTTCGTGAATTGTCTCTTTAATCAAGGTCTTAAAATGTCATCATTATAATGACACAAACATTATTTTCATCAGGCGTACTTGTAATTTTATATAAAATTCTGTTTCTTCTGTTTCAGCTTTATATCTGAACCCTTTCACTGAAGATCCTGAATATCGCCTATATGTGCTCCATCATTTGCAATCTGTACAGTTTTTGGACACAAAAGGTTGGCATCCGTTAACACAAACTTCTAAAATGAAAACAGTTCACTAAAAGTAATTATAGATATGCTTTATGAAAGATAAGCTGTGGGAAAGGCAGTATAAAAGCATGAATAATTATGTCATTACATGACTGTTTAAGCTAAATGAAAAATGCAGACAATTAAGCGATCCAAATCTGACACTTTCATAAACCACTTCTTCATTTTCCTTTGGCTTAGTCCCTTATTTATCAGGGGTCTCCACAGCGGAATGAACCGCCAACTATTCCAGCACATTTTTTACGCAGTGGATGCCCTTCCAGCCGCAACCCAGTACTGGGAAATACTTTCAGAAACTGTAGAAGATAATTCATATGTTTTGCTATAACGTTGGCCTAATTAAAATTTTTCAATGCGTGTTTCAGTAGTACAACAGAAAAGCACAAATGAAAACAAACATTGAAAAGCTGCTTATGAGTAGAAGTGGAAATATAGTTGAAAGCTACAACTGCTCTGTTTTTCATGTTTAATACTTAAAGGTCTGCTTATCCAGACCAATAAACTTGCCTTTAAAAAAATTACTTGTGTTCATGAGACAAAACAAATTAATCAGTGCAGCTCAGTCTTGCATTTCGATCTGAGAGGCAGATGATCCCACGTATAAAAAAAATAAAAAATTATTCACTCAAACTCAAGTGATTCTAAACTTGTATGAATTTCTTTCTTCCGTTGAACACAAGCCTTCGGCTTAGTCTTTATTTCAGAGGTCACCACAGAGGAATGAACCACCAATTTTTACAGCATATGTTTTACACAGTGAATGCCCTTTCAGCCACAACCCAGTACTGTGAAAAAACCATAAACACTCTCACATAAACTACAGCCAATTTACTTAATTCAATTCTCCTTTAGCGCATGTTTTTGGACTGTGGGGGAAACCGGAGCACTTGGAAGAAACCCACGTGAAGATAGAGAGAACATGCAAACTCCACACAGAAATTCTAAATTACTAACTGGGACTCAAACTAGCAAACTTCTTGCTGTGAGGTGAAAGTGCTAACCACTGAACAACCATGCCCCCTCTACGCAACAATTTATTAAGTTTAAATGTATTTTTACATCTATGTAAAATTGAATGAGATAATGCTTACACAGCAGTGATAATGTGAGACAATAACAGCGTTATGTGAGAGCACGTTTTTGGCCAAGAACAGAAAAGAGTAAAAGACAACAAACCTATATTCGAGTATACAGATATTTGTTTAACTAATTTCCATGACTTTTCTAAAACTTTTCCATCCCTTAATTCCATGACTTTTTCAGGTTTTCTATGACCGTATGAACCCTGGACGGCTGCTTTTCTCCCAGCATTTTTCAGTATATCGTTATTTGTATGTAACAGAAGTATGAAACTCAAACAGGTTTGGATCCAGTGGAGAATAAATAAATGATGACAAGTTTTATTTGGGGTGAACTATGGTATGCTGGGTTTTCACTCTTTCGCGAACAGCAGATTCAAGGACTTTCACTCATTCATTTTCCTTTGGCTTAGTCCCTTATTTAACAGGGTTCACCACAGCGGAATGAATTGCCAAATTTTCCGGCATATGTTTTATACATTTGATACCCAGTACTGGGAAACACCCATGCACTCTCGCATTCACACACACACTATGTCCAATTTTGCTACCCAATTCACCTATAGCGCATGTCTTTGAACTGTGGGGGAAAACGGAGCACCTACTGTAGATGAAATCCATGTGAATATGGGGAGAACATGCAAACTCCACAAAGTAATGCCAACTGGCCCAGGTAGGACTCGAACAAGCAACCTTCTTACTGTGAGGAAACAGTGCTAACCACTGAGCCACCGTGCCACCCTTATTCAATGACTTAAAAACACTGTTAGTTTTTAAATCAGGCAACTTTGTACTTCATACCACAGAATATGTAGTGTTATAAGAAGTCCTTACTGTACTTAATAATTACACTAAAAATAAAGTATTGATAAATAGTCATGTTCATAGAACTTTAATACAATTCGTTGAATTCAATACTGGTAATATTCAAATGCGGTCACTAAAATATTGATCAAATGTGAATTATTTGTCAGAGTTCTTGTGCAAGTTTTAAATGTAAGATTTTTAAATGAAGAATTTCTCAGTTTTTTCCTCCAGTTTCTGAAAGCAGAACCGTAAAATTGTTAAAATAATATCATAAACTTTATATTCAAGCACTTTTAAGATCTTGCGTTTGTTTTATACGTACTTTCCAGACCTAGAATTTAGATGTCTGAAATTTAAGCACTTTCAAGAAGTGTGGGAACCCTGGGTATACCCATATATGACTGTGAAACTACGGGTAAAGCGTCTCAGTGGGCATAAGAGACCATGAAAAGTTTTAGTTATTGCAAACTTTTGACTGGTAATATGTAAATTGCAGAAGTACAGCAAGTGGAGAGAAGACGAGCTTTAAAGCTGTTCAATGCAGAAAGACAGAAGGTTCTGGATACTATTGCCTTTGGCAGACGAGCACTACCGCCCCCTATAGGAAGAAAACAGACCAACGCTCTCACAAAACCTGTAGGTAAGGAGAAAAAAGTTCTTGTCTAATGGTGAACTACAAAGAAAATAAATACCACAATGTTAAGATTTATTAAACCCCTCTAATCTAAAGAACTGCTTTATTGTTATAGGTCAACATGTCTCAAGGAAGAGTACAGAGTTAGTGTCGACGTTTTTGGAATACATATTTTTAATGTTCAATCTACAGCAAAGAGTTGACTTTGTATGTTTTCTTTAGCCGTCGATCTGATCTACAAAACTGCTCAAAGGCCAAGTCCATCACACAGTTCTCCATTATGAACTGGACCAGTACAAACACATCTCAGTGGGACCATCTAGATGTTTCAAGCAGGCCTGAATCTGACATGCTAACTGTCAAACTGAGATGACTTCCAGACCTCTGTCGTCACTTCTGTTTACAAGATGGCCATTTGACAAGGCCAAGTGGTTTAAATCAAATGGAAAAAGTGTTGTCATCTTAAATCACAACAAACATCGTCAAAACCAATGTGAGCATTTAAGCCTGGTCTCTAAAACATATGTAATAGGTGACATCTGATATTTGACAGGTCCAGCTTGTTCTAACACTTTATAACGGAAAATAGATCTATTTTCTTTCTCAAAGTATTTCTATATCAAAATACACTTGCTACAACTACTAATTTAGAATTTTAAGGCATAGGCATCATATTTTGCAGCAATATATTACAATATATTTCCTAAAGCAATAACTACATCACGTGTAGGACTCTCAAAACACAACACGTACATAAATACATAGATTTGTCTCAACATAAATGTAAAAAGACCATTTAAAATAATTTAGCCACTTGTGACCCTTCATTCTGTGCTCTCGTGTGTGTTTTTACCCTACATTATGTGCTTCAGAAGACCATCCGGGATGGGAACCATGAAGACTTCTCTCTTTAGGCTTTGGTTGGTCTTCAGTGATGAAGATGATGATAATGATGGCTGCTGGGTTGAAATGGAGTGTGTGTTTGTGATTCAGTCTGCAGTAACAGAATTCACGTCTTCGGTATGATTATCTGTAGAGCTGGTGGTCTCGTTTTGGCTGACAGAGAGGTCCTCCATAGTGCTGCTCATCTCCTCCAGTGCTTGATCACCCTCAGCTATGCAAGAGAAAAGAAGTTTATGATTTTTTTTTTTTTAAGTAGTAGTATATCAAATTTGCATCTGACAGTTTAGCTTGACCCAAAACAAACAAGATTTAGTTATTTCAGTTAACAAAGCTTTACAGCACAGCTTGATTCTTAAAACAAATGACTCTTATGATTTGGTTCTCTTTGGTAAATTAAAAACATACAGCATGAACGGTGTAGCTTGATTCACAAAACAAATGATTTAAGATTCAGTTCTTTTTAGTGAAACAAAACGTGCGTTCCACTTCATTCATTTCTCAAAGCGGTGCAAGCTGGTTAGAAATTTTGTCCGGATTGATGTTGCGCAGACACCACGTGACTGTCACATGTGGCATTAAAGTACAGACGACTGATTCAGCCGGTGGAGCATCTGAAGAGCGACTAGGAGCTGTGATGACGACACCGATATTACACGATTGGCCAAGTTCACCGCACAAATGCGTTTGTTTCAGGTTTATTATTGGACAAATTCCGATTCACAAATTTCAAAACAAACAGTTAACTTTTCATACCCTCTATCTATATCATGCTTATCAAAAGACTGCAAATATTTTACTGCAGTAATCATGTTTTGTTAAATAATCTGGTTATAAAGGCTAGCTTGTTTGCATAAGTAAAAAAAATATTTTATTAAATAATTATAAAATGATTTATATGACTATAAAATACATGTGTAAATATATTTTATTTCCTGTCAGGACGTTTATGCACAAGTTTTAAAAGTGACATTGATGTACCTTGCTCTTACTGGGAAACTTTATTTTAGGAATGTCCTTTTATTCAATATTTTTGGATTAAAGTGCTTTTTGGAAAATGCTTTCATTATCCAAAATACTCCTAATCATTGTTTGAGACTTAATCAAAACACCTTGTTTTGCGTTTAACACTAATATATATTGGAAAGTTTTATATTTATAAATGTAAATAAATGTAAACCCCTTTTTAGCATATTGAAACAAGAAGTATTAGCCTAAAGAGTGATGTTTAAACTCCTAAAATTTGTGTTTACTGCTTCGTATTTAATAGGCCTATTCATTTTCATGTTTTTATTACTCTCTCGTTTCCCCTTATTTCTCTCATGCGTTTGTTATACGTTTAATATATTAGTTTAACTATAGTTTGCAGAGACTGTATTGTGTTTGATTTGTACTGTAAATCTTTTGTTGTTCTAAATAAAAAAAATAAAGATTATGATGACGCCATGTGATCGGTCATCAAGACTGCCACAATTTTGAGCCCTGAAGTGTCTGGCTGTCCAGCTCAATTTTCAACTCCGCCACCGCCTTCGCTCGGCTAATCTCTTTGATCACCGGCTGCAGCCATGGTTCAAGTCGGACATACCTAATGCATTCCAGTGTAGCTTGATTCTCAGAACAAACGACTTAAGATTTAGTTGTTTTTAGTAAAGCTAAGTAATTTAGTGTAAATAATTCTCAAAACAAATGAATCGAATTGGTTCTCTTTGGTAAATCAAAAACATACAGCGTGAATGGTGTAGCTTGATTCTCAAAACAAATGACTCTTATGATTCAGTACTTTTTAGTGAATCAATACATTAAAGTATAAACAGTACAGAGCCTGATTCTTGAAATTCTTCTCTTGAATTCTTCTCTTATGATAATGAACTCTTATGTCAATTGTCAATGTCAATTTTATTTATATAGCACTATTTAACAACTCAGAGGTCAACTCAAAACAGATTAAAAAAAAAAAAAAAAATATATATATATATATATATATATATATATATATATATATAGCTAAAACAGACAATTTTCACTGGTAAAATGTCAAATCAAAATCAAAAATCAAAGAGGTAAGTTTTGAACCTAGATTTAAAAACAGATCTGATACAGAGGGGAAGAGCATTCCACAACCTAGGACAGCTACTGCGAAGGCATGGACACCTCTGCATTTCAGCCTCGACTTAGGGATGCATAACAGTCTCTGGTTAGATGACCGAAGAGACTGACCGGGCTGATGCTTAATTAACATGTCTGACAGATAAGAAGGTACCAGGCCATTTAGAGATTTAAAAACGAAGAGAGGCATTTTAAAAATGACTCGATAGTGCACAGGCAGCCAGTGCAGAGAGCGTAAAACTCGGGTAATGTGGTCATGTTTCTTGGTACCTGATAAAAGCCTTGCAACAGCACTTTGAACTAATTGTAACCGGGATAAGGCTTTCTGAATAATCCCAAAGTTTAGTGAGTTACAATCGTCCAGTCTAGTGGTAATAAAAGCATGGATTATATTTTTCAATTTTTTTTCTGGATAAAATAGATTTGACTGTTTTTAAAAGTCAAAGCTGAAAGAAGCAGGATTTGACCACTGCATCTATCTGTCTGTCTGTCTAAGCTCAAGCCATCATCCAGAATAACACCCAGATTGTTTACCCAGGGCTTCATAGAAAAACAGATTTTTTCTAGATTAACTATCGGTGCTCTGGAAGAGTTTGACGGGCCGAACAAAATCATTTCACTCTTACTCTCATTAATATCTAGAAAGTTTAAGGACAACCAGTCTTTCACATCCGACAAGCATAGCATAAGAGTCTCTAGCCCATTTAAACTGGGTTTTAAAGGCAGGTAGATTTGGGTGTCATGCGCATAGCAGTGAAAAAGCAGACCATGTTTTTGAAATGTAGAGCCCAGAGGAAGCATATATAAGGATAAAAGAATAGGGATGAACAGTGAAGCTTGATTCCTGATTTAAATTACATTTAAACATTATAGTGTGAAAAAATTGGCTTGATTCTCGAAAAATATAATTCTTATAATTCAATTCATTTAAGACAATCAGAATCGACTAAGCAAATCTGTAGATTTGGTTCTCTTTTTTGTTAAATGTGTCATTTAAATAGTTTTTGTGATTAGGTGCTTTAAAAAAATACAATATATGTTATAGCAATTGCTTATTTTACTAAAAAATGACCATTAGAATTTAGTTATTTTAAGTGAATTTTAAACATACAGCATGAACTGTATTGATTCCAGAGAGATAAAAAGTTTCTTCAATCATTTTTTTGCATGATTTATCACCTGCAAGGTTTAATGTAAATATTACTATACTATTATGGTTTGCTTCTTTTTATAGAATCAAATCTTTATTGAGGAAAGAGTGCATATTGATTCCAAAACAAAAGACTCTGGTTTATATTTTCTTTAAACATTAATGCGATGCTATATATTAAATATCTACATTTCAGGAAAAAAAAACTGTTAATGCTGACAAAATGTGATCTTACTTTTCCCAAAAGAATCATAATACCACGAAATGTACTGGGGTAATATCATAGTAAAGCAACACAAATTTGATTTGGTTACCTTTGGCTTGTTTCTGTAGTCGTGCCGCTGATTCTGCTTCATGTTTCTCTCTCTGCTCCTGTAGCATCTTACAGACCTTCTTATGGCTGAACCAGTGCAGCTTCTGACAGGCCTGACCACAGTAGATCACCTGAACATATGCACAGATAAAACACTTTACAGGTGAAGTTGGGCTGCACAAGACATCTTTCGTCATTAATAGGGCAATGTTTGCATCCGCAATAGACCCACACTAAATATGCAATGTTGACTTGGAATTATACTTGGATGGAATTATCACATTGTGATGGAATTATAGCATCACAATTCAGAATGCATGATTTGTAGAGTCACTGCAGAGTTTAACAAAGGGAACGTTTATCTTTTCATGTGTTTTAATGATTTTCACGAGAGTTTAAAGCATTCAGGCCCAAAATATGACAACATTTCTTTCCAAACAGTTCATCATATAGCGAAACTGCACTCAGATTTCAATATATAAAGCAAAAAAAAATAATTATTGCAATGTCTTATTTCTCCAATATACAGCTGAATCATCTCCATCAATGTAAATGAATAATTTCTTTCCAGAAAAAAAATCTAAGTCATTTCGTGAAATTGTATTCACAATTTAACACATAGCAAAAAAAAAAAAAAAAAAAAAAATGTATTAAATATATTAGCGCTGTCAAAATTAACGCGTTAACCCGTGCGATTAATTTTAAATAATTAACGCGTTAAAAAAAATTAACGCAATTACAGGTTTTTTTTTACTTCCTGTTGTGGTGGACGTGTGTTCAACATGCAATAAATGTGGATAAGACCAAGGAAGCAATTTTTGAAGGCAAGTTCCAGTATAAAACAATTAGTTGATCACAGGTTATCCAGAGTTTCATGCAATTTCCGGTGTTTCATTTTTATCTTTCGACTTCTGTTGTAAGTTGATACCGCATGCCGAACAGAAAGAAAATCCTCCGCATTTCGTGACTCGGTGTTCCTTTAAGGTAATAAAATCACTGCTTAGGTTACACGGTAGAATTTTAATAAGAGTATAATCTTAATCATATTAAAATCGGAGTATTGGTGTCTTATGTAAATGTACTCAGAACGTCTGGTGAAGTCTTGAGATGTCAAAGACAGGGGATTACTCTGCCTTTCAGCATGAGCCCTCCTTAGCGTGTTTCCTCATTAAACGCAAGGAAAGCGTATGCTTCGCGTTGTTGTGTCAGAATCCTTGTGAAATACAGTAATACTTTAGGACGCTTAGTTTAAGCAAATTTGATGAACGTGATCATGCGTGTTGAATCTGAGGGGAGTCGCTCCAGTATGGAAGGCCGTTGGGGCCAAAACGTCTGCAGCACGTTGTGTGTGTGTCTGTGTCAGGCCTGTTGAGGGGTGTCAGGGGTGGAGTGAGCGACGTATCCGAGTAGGGGCGAGAGGGGTGTGCAATGTATTTAACGACCGTTTTTCAAGAAATTGTCATTCATTTGCGGGCATTTGGGAGTCTCTGTGCACTTGCGGGATACTCCTAGTCTTAGCAACTGGATGAATGTAAAGGAGGATTAAGCAAAATTGTTTCTACTCTATAACTAATGTTCTCAACTGACAGCAATAAAACTTTACAATGAGTGCAACAGTTTGTATTATATAGTTTATTATTATAATTTTTCATTTTCCATATCTGCAATTCCTGTATTTTGGCATTTTTTTGCAGTCCACTTAGAATCCAACATGGAAATCAATGTTTTCTTTATTGGCATTGATTGTTTTGAAATTTAAATGTCATTAACATGCCTGTGTTTTAATTTCTGTAATAAATATGGCTGTCAAGCCAGGATCTTGATGGTTTATTGTGGGTATGTTGTTTACATGAAGAAATCTGTGTTACAAGTTAAACAAAAATTCTATTAAACAATTATATTTTGATTTTAAATATTTTTGTCTTGCGTTTACATTATTTTTACATTTAAATAGCCAAAATTACAAGTTTTAGTATTTTAAATGCGATTAATTTAAAAAGGTGCGATTAATTAGTTAATTTTTTTTAATCGATTGACAGCACTAATATATAGCAATGTCAGATTTTTCCAATATAGTGCAGACCTAGAGTGAAGTGAATAAATCATGTTATAAAGCCTGATATTTACCATTTTGCAGATGGAGCATCTTTTCTCTGCCCCTTTCTCACCACAGGTTGTGCAGAAATCTGCATCCATGAAACCCACCTGGCCCGTGATGGCCTGAGTGAGAACTGACATAGCCGTTGGGTCACTTCCCTGTCAAAATAAAATAAAATAAATAAGTAATAATGAAATAATGTTCTGTCTTGGTAGCTGAGACTAAAGATTTATTTGAAAATAATGTATTGTTCCCTCACTCACTTTCCTATGTTAGACCACTAAAACAGCTCACTTAAACAAGTTAATCCAAACAAATAAGTAGATTTACCTCTACGTGAGCAAACAGAGGTCTCTGTAACTCTTACTCACAATTTCCACTGGAGCGATACTCCGGACCAGCTGCTGAAGTAATGTGGCATCACAGTATGGAAACTTCCTAATGCACTCGCGAATGAACTTCTCCTGGAATACTGGGAAACCATCACTGTCTCGCCCTTTTAAAAGACTGAGAAAAAAATTTCAGTCACTGTACAGATCAAATAAGGCATTTTAAATTAATAAAAACAAAGCCCCTTTGAAGTTAAAATTAAATATGTTTATATTCCTAAATATTTAGGGTGAATAAGCTTTTGCCAGCATTATAAAATTATGCTCAGCCATGCATTTATTAGAATACAAACTCTGAAACTAATATTAAATAATTAAATAAAATCATTTTCTATTTTAATACATCTTTATTTTCTAGGCAAAGCTATTTTTTAATCATCACTATTCCAATGTCACATGATTCTTCAGAAATTAATCTAATATCTCACTTTGCTTTTTTAAGAAACATCTATTTTACTATTATCATTTGAAGTAGTAGTATTATTAAAAATGTTTGAATTTTGTTTTGAAAACTAATATAATTGCTACAGAATTCTTTGATTAATTATAATAATTTTTTTTACCAGAACAGCATTGAAAATTATATCATACTTTTACTTTCACTTCTCAATTTAATGCTTCATTGTCTTCATTGCTATAGTAAAAAAATAAGCATAATGATAATAATTCATTATTATTATTATTATTATGATAAAACATGACCCCAAACCTACAGTACGCATAATAACTAACCTTTTGATGAGGCTTTCAAGCTTGTCCTGTCGATCTTTCAGGAAAGAGCCACATTTCTGTAGCACACAGCTGAGGTAGTGCATCTTCATGGCTAACACTTCATTCATGTCCTGCTGTTTGATGCACTTCTCACAGATCAGCTCCAGAACCTGTGTAGCACATGAGTTATTAACACATAATTTGCTTTGAGATTTGAATTGGTTTGAGTTTATTGTAATAAATGTATACTCACAAACATAACACAGCAAAAAAAAACAAAACAGAAAGAGGTACCACAAGTACTACGAGGCTACAAGTCACTTTTCATTTAATGTTCCACGCTGGTGAAATGACCTTTACATCATCAAACAGAGTGCTGATTTACTAGTATCATTTAAACAACAACAAAAATCTCATTTATCTGGAATCACCTGAACCACTGTGAACAAAGCCTCACCACACGACAACCCCAAACAAAGTGTGCCTCACATGAGTGAGTGGGCTTGACAAACCACCTGTAGAAAACACTTTACCAGACACTTGCACTAGTTTTGCACTAAACACTTTCTTACAATCACAAAAAACACTATTTATGAAGTGTGCTTCACACAGGTGAGTGGGCTTAACAAACCACCTGTAGAAACACTCTTTTCTCTATATTTCCAAACATTTTTAAAAGTCTCCACCTTAAGCCTGGTTTATACTTCTGCGTCAAGTGACCGGCGTAACTCACGGCGCAGGCATCGTAACTCACGGCCGCAGCTGTGCATTTATACTTCTGCGCGCTGTCTCTGTTGGTCTGCATTAACACTTCCGAAACGCTAGTTGGCAGTGAGGTGTAAATGTTCCTCTGTGTCGAGTTTCTTTGCTTTTCCTGTACACTTCCTGGTTGTACAAGTGGCTCAAACTCACTCATTTTGAGGCAGGAACTGGCGGGCGTGCAGCAACTTTAACTATGAGGTAAACACAAAACAAAACTTTCCATCAGGAGCTCCTTCACAGAACTCCACACTTGTAAACAATCGCTCCATTGGGCTCGCGTCCAGCTTGCGCCCTTTGCGCGGCTCTCGGTCCCGCCCAGACTCGTCAGCGCTACCAAGCCGACCCATCACAGTGCTTGCGCTACGCGCCGTTGCGACGTGTAGTTACAATTTTTGAGAGGTGCACGTCAGTGACGCCGACGGCCACGGTGAAGGGCTATGCGTCAGCGCCGTAGCATATGCCGGTGTTTGACGCAGAAGTAGAAATCAGCCTTTACTCTAGCACCTAATTATTTGAGCACTCAGTTTACTTGTATAATTACAACTTCTTGTGTGCATTGCCTCTTCCTGTTGATTCGCTGAATGCCTCCTCAATTACAAGTCGCTTTGGACAAAAGCGTCTGTTGAAGGCAAGGCAAGTTTATTTATATAGCACATTTCATACACAGTGGCAATTCAAAGTGCTTTACATAAACAGGAATAAAAAAGACAAGTTTAGGAAAATAAAAAGCAGACAATAAAAATTATTAAAAACAGATAAAAACAAATTAAAATGAGTTAAAATAGGTTATAAAAGAATGAAAAAGAAAACGAAAAACATAATAGTGCGATCTGTCGGACGCAGCACAGTGCTCATTCAGTAAAGGCACAGCTAAACAGATGTGTTTTCAGTCTTGATTTTAATGTGCCTAATGTTGGAGCACATCTGATCATTTCTGGAAGCTGATTCCAGCAGCGAGGGGCATAGTGGCTGAAGGCAGATTCACCCTGCTTTGACTGAACTCTTGGAACTTCTAGTTTATATGATCCTAAAGATCTGAGTGATCTGTTAGGTTTGTATTCAGTCAGCATATCTGTAATGTATTGAGGTCCTTGGCCATTTAGTGATTTATAGACCAGTAATAATACTTTAAAATCTATTCTGAATGTAACTGGCAGCCAGTGTAGAGACCTGAGGACAGGTGTGATGTGCTCTGATTTCCTGCTTCTGGTCAGAATTCTGGCTGCAGCATTCTGGATGAGCTGCAAGTGTCTGACTGTCTTTTTGGGAAGGCCAGTGAGGAGTCCATTACAGTAATCCACCCTGCTGCTGATAAAAGCATGAACAAGTTTCTCTAAATCTTCACTAGAAACAAAGCATCTGATTCTTGCAATATTTTTGAGATGATAGTATGCTGATTTACTGACTGCTTTGACATGACTGTTGAAACTCAGATCTGACTCAAGAGTCACACCAAGATTCTTGACCTTATTTTTTGTCGTTTGACCTTTAGAGCCAAGGTACGCATTTACCTTGAGAACCTCATCTCTGTTCCCAAACGCAATGACTTCAGTTTTCTCTTTGTTTAACTGAAGAAAATTTTGGCACATCCAATTTTTAATTTCATCAATACATTGGCAGAGGGTGTCAATGGGGCTGTAGGCATTAGGCAGTAAGGCTAGGTAGATCTGAGTGTCATCAGCATAGCTGTGGTAGGAGATTTGATTCTTTCTCATTATTTGGCTCAGAGGGAGCATGTAAAGGTTGAACAGGAGAGGTGCCAGAAGCGAGCCTTGTGGGACTCCACATGTCATGGGTGTCCACCTCGACCTATGATCACCTATACTGACATAGTAACCTCTCCCTTCAAGGTAAGATCTGAACCATTTGAGGACTGTCCCAGACAGCCCAACCCAGTTTTCCAGCCTATCCAGAAGTATGCTGTGATCGACAGTGTCAAATGCAGCACTGAGATCGAGCAATACCAACACTGTTATTTTACCTGAATCTGTGTTTAGACGTATATCATTGATTATCTTTATAAGAGCGCTCTCTGTACTGTGATGTGCTCTGAAACCAGATTGAAAATTGTCTAAACACCCCCTGAAGTTTAAGAACTTGTTAACCTGGTTGAAAACAACTTTTTCAATGATTTTGCCAATGAAAGGGAGATTTGAGATTGGCCTGTAATTGCTCAATAGGGTGTTATCCAGGTTGCTCTTCTTCAAGAGGGGTTTAACAACTGCAGTTTTAAGTGAGTTTGGAAAAATCCCTGAGAGAAGTGAAGCATTTACCACTTTTAGAAGATCCATTTCTAAACAGGTAAACACCGTTTTGAAGAATGATGTGGGGAGCGTGTCAAGACTGCAGGTTGATGTTTTCATAATTTGCACCATCTCTTCTAAGATTTTGCCGTTAATTACCATGAAATCAGACATAATGTCTGACTTCTCAAGTTGTGGTTGAGCTTGTTTGATATCGACACAACTTGGCTGATTGGATGAGCTGATTGCCTTTCTGATATTAATGATCTTATCAGTGAAGAAATGAGCAAACTCATTACATTTGCTTTCAGAGAGTAGCTCACTGGGAATCCGACTGGGGGGGTTTGTGAGCCTCTCTACTGTTGCAAAGAGTGTGCGAGCATTATTTACATTGTTGTTTATAAGGCTTGAAAAGAAAGTCTGTCTAGCAGTTTTTAGTTCCACATTAAAAGCCTGAAGACTGTCTTTATAGATATTATAATGGACTACTAGTTTCGTCTTTCTCCACATACGCTCAGCTTTTCTGCATTGTCTTTTCTTCATTTGGACTGCTCTTGAGTTTCTCCAAGGGACTCTCTCTTTGCCAGTTCTCTTCCTAACTTTAACAGGAGCGATGTCATTTATTACATTTTCAATTTTAGAATTAAACAAATCAAGGAGAGAATCAACAGAGTCTGCAGATATACTTGGTGCCAGCGATATGGCCTTCATAAACTGCTCACTAGTGTTCTCATTTATGCATCTCTTTCTGACAGAGACAGATCTGTCTTTAATAGCTGGAGTGCCACATCCTTAACAACAGTGGATGAAATGTGTAAACCCTTAGTTATAAGTAGATCAAGGGTGTGTCCACGATTGTGTGTGGGTCCTTGAACATGCTGAGTCAAAAGTGTTAAAAACAGTCATCAGTTCTTTTACAGCATTGATTTCTGGATTATCAATGTGAATATTAAAATACCCAGCAATACTAAAATAATCATATTCAGATGTTACTATTGATAACAGCTCTGTAAAATCCTCAATAAAAGCTGGAGAATATTTTGGAGGTCTGTAGATAATGATCAGTAAGATGCGTGGAGACCCTTTTAGTGCTATACTCAGATATTCAAAGGACAAATAGTCACCAAATGACACTTGTTTACAGTCATGCACATCTTTAAACAGGGCAGCGATGCCTCCACCTCTCCTATTAAATCTGCAAACACTCAAAAAGTCAAAGTTTAAAGGAGCTGCTTCATTCAGAACTGCTGCGCTATAACTGTCATCTAGCCAAGTTTCATTTAAAAGCATAAAATCAAGGCAATTTGTGTTGATAAAATCATTGACTAAAAGTGACTTATTATTGATTGAGTGATCTGATGTTTAGAAGTGAATGACTAAATGTAATAACATAGCTCACCTTGCGACACTTCTCAAGCGCTTCCACATCCATGAGCAGAGGGTTTTCCTTCACCATCATCACTATCTGCAGAAGAACCAAGCAGAGGTTTTACAGTGAAAGGGATTTATGTTTTGATGTTATGTTTGATCAACTGGGAAATTTGATTGGGATTTTAGAAACAAATGTAGCCCCTAAGGTTGCTGCACATTGTATATGAAATTTTCACACGTTGAAAAACAAATTCGACCTCACGTTGTGTGAATCATATTGACACAATGCCTCCGAAAACTTTGTCAGTCATAAAAAAATTTCAAACTGGGATCAATTTTTATTGCTTTTTTTCATCTGAAAAATCAATTTGAGAGGTGTTTTAACAGTTCAGAGCCACCGTACAAGCTAATAGCTACATACAGAATGTCGTCATCTGAGCTACAGATAACTTTATGACAAACATTGTGCAGACACACTGTCGGTGTGTCCATACATTTGACATTGGGTAGACATTATAATATAAGGCATGGTTTGCTTTAGGTCTGTTGCTTCGACATGTGAACGCGGTAGCCATCTATTATAATGTATATAGGTACTGCCAATGTCTGTTCAGGATGTGTCTGTTCAGGACGTGAAGGTGTGAAGTATCACAAGCAATGTATCAAAATTTCACTGATCTCCTGAAATAAACTTTACATTTTAGGATAATTGTAGCGCAGCTCTTTGATAATGAACTAAACTCTCCTTCCTCTCTAATATTGAATGAACACAATATGCAGCCTATTGCTCTTTGTTTTACTACTTTGGAGAAAGAGAAAAAAAAAGTATCACAGCTTGAACTGACTCCAAAATGTTTTGTGTTTTTTGGATTATTAATATGCATTAGTGTGCAAAGTTAGCTTTCGCATATGAATACGTAAAAAATGCATACGAAAATTTGCACTTCAGTGCACCTTTAAAGTTATATTTATTTACTGCTATTTCTTAATATGGATATGAGAGTATAGAATCAGACAAAAGGAATAGAGAAAGGAGAGAAATGAACAGGACTGGAAAAGAAAACATGGCCTGATACCTTTACAGGATTGAGGTTGGTACTCATGATAATTTTGTGTAGCGGTCCAGAAAGTTTTGAAGGAAGTTTTGGTTCCTTTTCCAGCCCCTGAGGTTTTGTGTAGTAGTCCAACCTCGCCCGGGAGAAGAAGTTATTGATGACTGTCACGCAATCGTGCTGTCCTGAAAAATATTGAAACTATTTTCAAATGTACAGTACCTTTCCTTCTGCAAGTCTTAGGTGAAAAATGAGGCTTTCCGATTTTCTTATTCTTAATGTAAGAAAATGTATACTTTTACAATAAATCTCAGATATGGCTCCCTCTTGAGGGATGTGGCATCAAACCATTCTTGAATATCTGACTTGTATTGAACATAGTAAAAATAGAGCTTACCATAATATTTAGGAACCTTGATGACTTTGATATTGCTTCTATCCTGACAAGAGGATTTACTTAAGAATGTCATGGATGGTTTTGTTGGTTGTTTTACACTTACAGTTAATACTTTCATATTCTTATATTCTCCATGACTTACTAAATGCTGCGTAGGTGCACTTCCCTGTTTGTGTATGTGAGCTAAACTGTATTTTCTTGTGATTATTTTTATTTATTCTTTATTTTTTGCTGTTTGTCTGGTTAATAGTTTAACTATTGCTGTCATTGCAACATCACTATTTTACAAAGATGTTATTTCTCTAGAAAAAGTAAAAACTTCATTAAACATATATATTAGAAAGACAAGAGAGACGCATTCCAAAAATATGTCATGTAAATGCTTAAAGTTAGAGCCTTTTGTCTGCTTCTGATTATACTGCACAGGCTTTCTCTGGTCTTTCAATCCAACACAGAACAAAAATATTTTGTAAGGATTTGTACATTTCATACTAAAACAATCAAATACTTTATAAAAACTCCATGCATTGAGATTTATTTCCAATAAGTTCCTATTTCCTAATACAGAATATATGCTGATTTCAAGTTTTTTTATTGACTATATGATTTTAAATTTAGGCCTGTTGTCTTTAATTATTTTAACAAACATTTTACGACAAAAAAGTTACTATGCTGGGCAATTTATGAATAAAAATATAAAACAAAAGATTCAGAATTTATCATGTGAAAAAAACATCATGCACTTAGTTTGTAGGTTGTACAGTACCAAACATTTAGTTTACAATTAGTTTAGTGATTCTTAGAGTTAGTAAAATTGTCACTTTTATACAGCAAGGATGCATTCATTTAATGCAAAATTGACAGTCTATATTTCTAAAAGGTCTATTACAAGATTTTTAATTAAATTGAATGCTATTCTTATGAAATTTCTATTGACTACAGAATATTAAATGTCTTATGGTTTTCACAAAACGATTAAATAAATATAATAAGAAGGTTTCGACTCATATTAAAATAAAATCTGAAGGAATATATGACACTACAACGAAAAAAAAAGTCAGCTTACCATTAGAAATAAACAACAGTTTATAATATATTAAAATAAAAATTTGTATTTTGTAATTATTTTTCACAATATGACTGTTTTTACAGTGTTTTACTGTGTGATAGCAGTGTAATTACAATAATGAGATCTGAGGCGTGACTCGAAACAGATAATCTGTTGCAATGGGGTTAAAGTTCCTGGCGTCTGGTTGAGATGAAGACCTTTTATTACGTTTAGCTAGCTGAAGCAATCTACTCCTGGGAGGGGGTAGAAATCAGGGGCCCTTTGATTTACCTCCAGAATGAAGTTGACATTGGGGGGCACGTAATTAGAGCTGTAAAGCTGAACGTTTCAATGTTAGGTGAATTGAATCTGTTGGAGACGTTCAATAGATTAGGGTGCTTTCACACATGCCTTATTTAGTTCGGTTGAATCGCACTAGAGTTCATTTTCCGTTTTGGTGCGGTTCGTTTGGGCAGGTGTGAATGCAGCAATCGTACTCGAGTGCGCACCAAAAACAGACCAAAAAAGCGTATCGAGACCTGTTTGAAGAATGGAACCCTGGAGCGGTTCGTTTGTGGTGAGAATATGATCCGAACTTAAACAGACCCAACCGCAAAAAGTACTATGCCTTTTGGACTAATCCAGCTGCCGCAGGCTGATGAGCTGTGCATTATGGGATATGGAGGAAAAATATTTGTTGACAGAGCTTTACCAACAGAGAGAGAGGGAAAAGCACTACCTGATGAATCGTTGGTAGTATTTCCGCAAGATGACCATGTCGCAGTTTAGCTAAATCTATTCACACCACCTAAAGTGACGTGAAATGCATTAAAACATTGTTTTCCAGCTGTGCTTCATTCTCAAAATTTATAGTTTGTCTAAAGCAGGAATATAATCAGTCAGCGGAGTCGTCCCTTCATAGTAAAAAGCGACATTTTGTGTCTGCTGGTTTGTTTACTTGCGGGAGTTCGTTGGCATTTTCCCGCATGTGAATTCTGACCAATCGATAAGCAGTTTAGGAACTATGTGGTGTGAAAACGACCCAAAGACAGCAGAAAATACAACAATGTAACATTTATTACCCTTGGTCTGGACCATATGAAGCGAACTACAGATGTGAAAGAACCCCAAGGGCACACTCGCACCATGCTATCCGAACCGTGCCCAAGTTCAGTTGGCCGGCCCTGGCAAAGTTGAAAGAGGTGTGTTCACTTGTAGTGTGACTGTAAAGCGTGCCTGAAGCCGAAACTGAAGACGAGACATGACTTTTAAGGGACTGTTTCCAATGGATTTATTAATCATTCTTACTGTTCAAAGAAACACAAACTGTCGTAGATTATTAAAGATGCAAACTCCTCACTGCACGACAGCTGCACCTTTAGCAAACCTCCTAATTCCTGCAGCACGAGGACTTTATGATTGTTTATGAGCGTCAAAAGTGGTTGATCTATTCGGCGAAATATTTGACCTCATGTCACAGCATCAAGCAACTAAAAGGATATAACCATATAATGAAATCTCCACTGTGCTGAGCGAGAGCGCTTCTTTAACTGAACAGAGCATCATCGATAATGTAAGCGTGCTCAGGCTCGAATGCAATATGAGTGCGGGTCGTCGGGGGAGACGGAAGGGGGGACAAGAGTGCTTCGGTCTGGTTTAAGGCATCTGTACATAGTGAGTACGCCCTAAGAGCTACCAAGAAATCCACAGAGCGGGGATGATCACCAGAATGGGGAAGTCTCAGAGTAAAATGAGAAAATATGATACATCTGTTTTGTTTTTGGTCTTTACACTGTTTAATCTATTTTTATTTTATTTGTTTTTATTTTACTTATGTTTGTCTCTTTTATTCCTGTTTATGTAAAGCACTTTGAAATGCCATTGTGTATGAAATATGCTATATAAATAAACTTGCCTTGCCTATTATTAGCAAAAACACAGTTTGGTGAAAATATTTAAAAACTTTTTATTAAATATATCTTTCAATTTTTAGAGTGATTTAAACAATAACATTAATAAGATTGCTTCACCATAATTCCATATGTTTTGGCATACCTACAAAAGCAGCCATTTGAGCTGCTGTTCTGCCAACTGAGTTCACTGCATCAGTCTCGGCACCAGCATCCAACATCATCCAGGTGATTTCTGTCTTTCCTGTAGAACACAATTGAAACGACTTTTTGCATTGCTTTATTACTGCACAAAATATATTCAGGCCATAGTATGGTCAAACTGATGACTTTACCTGAGAGTCCTGCAAACATGAGTGCGGTGTATCCGTGCTCATGCTCATTGCAGTTGACGTCTGCTCCGTGCTGCAGTAAGAGTTTGCACATGTCTGCCTTGCCTTTATATGCAGCGTGCATGAGAGGCGTCATGCCGTACTGAAATTAGAACCCACAAGGAAAGACAAACCGACAATCAATATGGTTTTCAAGCATCTGCTATGAATGTCCATAGATGTCAGCAACAGATGATTTGGACAGGTCACTCAAACAAAAGCCAAGCATTGTTTAAAAAAAGACAAAAGACTGCCACTAACCGAGAGGGCAATTACACCATTAAAAAAACAGTTTATTGATTGTAGTGCATAACAAACAACATTTCATTTCATTACCTCATCCAGACAGTTGACTTTGACATCTTTGGATCCAAGCAATCTGGAGGCTTCCTGCACATTACCTAAAAATAATAACAACAACTTTTAGATAATTTAAGTGCCTTGTACTTGCATATATATACGTAGTGATCCTTCATTAGCATTTTATAATCTTTCAAACTGTTTTACTTAACGCATACAGCATGATGACATTAAATATGCAAAAGTGACGTTAATCTAAACAAAGAGAAAAAAACCGGTAAAATTATTTACTATAACCACAGCTTGCAGGTTATTAAAAAGAAATAATTTTCACAAGTGGTAACTGTGTTAATCTGGAGTTAGCTTGTTAGCGCCATGCTATCTTTACCTGCAGCAATAACCTGAAGCAGCTCCTTCTCCGTGTCAGTAAGGTCTCCTTTCTTTGGTGCAGACATTATTATAATCTAAGTGACAAGTTTGAATTTAACAAGCTATTAATAACTAGAATATTGTTGATACGACAGCTTGTTGTGCTGTGATTGATCCACTGACTGGAAGAACCACTTGGGGTTAACGGGTTGAAACGGAATATACCAACTGGAACAAAAGCAGGGGCGTGATCACCTAAATGTCGCTGTCTGTTGTGGTTTTACAGTTATTTTCAAAGATTCTGGTTAAAATACAGAATCAATTTGAATTTAAAATACTAACTATAATGATTTTATTATGTCCAGGTAAAGTTAAAAGCTATTTGTGTGTATTTTTGTAATGTGTCTACTCCTATTTGACTGGTGGTGTTTTAGTCCTGTGAAGTCTGGAACTTTTATTCTGTAGAATAGAGTATATGGTCGATCAAAATAATTAGTTTTTTTTTCAAAATAAGAGACACGTCAATACATGTCTCTTATACGTTAATCTTACCAAATCAAACTTTTTTTTCTTTTTTTTTTTGATTTTAGCATAAAATTTTGATTTGTGCATAAAATCCATCGCTTGTAGGAGACATTAAAGTGAGTGAAAATAATGTATTTTTTCATATTTACATTTTCTTTACATTTAATCACTTGACAGATGTTTATAACCAAATCAACAATAAAAGAAAATATATACATTATATAAAGTAAGTGCTTGAGATAAATAGAGGGTTAGATTATGTTATTTATGGAAAAATAAAGAACAATTAAAATACTTTTAGGGATTGTAAAATCATGCCATTTTTATATACATAAACAAAATAGAGAATAAATAAAAGAGTACTGGGAATAGAATTATTGTTATAAAAACACAACTACAAAAAGTGTTTATTATGTTACTTTTTTTACAAAAATAAAAAGCTAGAATGGAAAATAAATTATAGAGAGTCGTGTTGAGGAAATGATGAGTAATAGAGTTTTCTGATAATGTGTATTTTGAGTAAATCGAAATCAATGATTCGTTCACTTATCTGAAAGAAGCGGTTCGTCCTGTTCACTAAATTAACGCATAATGCATGAAAGCATAAATGAATAAAACAATGAATTAATTAATTAAAAAACAAATAAGTTAATTAAACTTTAAAATAATAAAATAGAAATGAAAAAAAACACCAAGATGTGTTTTTCACCAATAAATGAAGAAAAAATATACATTAGTTTATAATTAAATTTGATTAAAAATAAACTATCTGTTTTTTAAGCCATATATTACGTAATTTACTTTTCTATTGTTTAATTTATTTATTTATCTGTGTCCTTCACGCATTTACTCATGATACTTTAAAGCGAACCGTTTAAAGGAACCGACTCACGCTCGACTTCCCAAAATAATTGCTTCACCTTGAACAAAGAACCTGTTTGCCTCGAGTTAACAGTTCAAATAGGACTTTGCTCATTTGAATAAAGATAAAAACGGACCAATGGCGTTAAACGTGTTCACCTGAGCAGATCCTGAACAGCTTCTAGTCAGTCAGTCAGGCTTCGAGCAGAGTCTACACGTTGTATTTCAGACTATGGTTTAAGTGTATAAACTATATTGTTTAATCATGGCTTGTGGTGGCTTTGTTTGCTCCAAAACGTGTCTCTGCATCTTGAACCTCATTTACGTGGTAAGTGGCCATATATCAAGGCTTATTATTGTCATTAACAATACGCTTAATGTAAATTAACATCAAAGTGAACTAAGACTTTGTTAATGTAAAGTTAGTTAAACTAGGCTAACGAACAATTAGCCATAGTATTTGAAGTAGATAATTACTATGAGTTGTTCTCAACAGTGACAATAACAATTGTAAGTGCTGTTGTAAGTTTAAAATTATGGTAAAATGTCGAATTAATGGTTGTGAATTTACATATCTACGAAATAAACAAAATAAAAATATTTTATGCCGTTTCATGCAGTAATTTAGGCTGTTGTTAGATAGATATGTCCCATTAGCTGTAATTTGTATATTAAAATGATATAAGGATGAATTTTAACAAGTTTCTGTGTTTACCAAATGTTTCTATTGATTGTTTATTATTGTTATTAATATATTCATCTGTTCAGCAGTCTATGTTTTCCTTCTGAGTTGGCCTACAATAAAGTACCTTACACGACCTAGAGTACTACCTAATACTACCTGATATTACCAACTACTTAGAATATGTAGTCATTGGCTTTTCTAAACATCTTCACTCATTATTTCTGTTTATCTGTTGTTTTTTGTTGTTTTTTTTTAAGTTGGTCAGTCTTCTGTTGATTGGTGTGGCAGCCTGGGGAAAATGGTTTGGGCTGGTCTCTAGTTTCAGTGTAATGGGTGCTGTAATCGCCGTTGGATTGTTTCTCTTCATCGTGGCCATTATTGGACTGTGTGGAGCTGTGAAGCATCATCAAGTCCTCTTGTTCTTTGTATCCTTCTGAGTAATCCATCCAATAAATTCTCTTATCAGCCGTGTTACACAACACATCAGCTTTAGTTTAGGCTGTATCTGTTTTGCTGGCTTGCTTGATTTGAATGATTTACTGTAAATAAATAAAAAATACAAAATTGATGCTTGCTATAAAGCAGTGTTTCTCTGCCACGTTCCTGGAGGACCACCAACACTGCATGTTTTAGATATCTTAATGTCTGTCACAGCCATTACAGGTGTTTAAGTCTTTGCTAATGAGCTGATGATCTGAATCAGGTGTCTTTGGTTAAGGAGACATGGATTTGTGCAGTGCTGGTGGTCCTCGTGGAACATGGTTGAGAAACACTGCCTTAAAAGTGTTAGTGCACACAAAATTCTATTATTAACTACTCATCCTCATGTTGAACCAATCCCAAGACATTTGTGATTAATTTAATTTAATACAGAATTATTTTTGGGGGGTGAAATAACCCTTTAATTAATCCTTATACTGTATTAACCTTATGAGTAACTCTAAATTAAAAATATAAGTTGAAACATTACCTTAGTTTAATGATGCATGTAATGACGTTAGGTCAGTTATCATGATTAACATAAACGCATATGTTGAAATTACTTGTTGATCAAATATTTTTTAGAATGTTTGAAAAGCTATCTGCCTTAAATGACACACAAACCCCTTAACTAGTCTTCAGTACATGTTTATTCTTTTCCTGGTATTCATAGTGCAGTTTTCTGTATCATGTGCCTGCTTAGCCATTAATAAAGAACAACAGGTAATTATAGCCTGTATTTATACAGATACAGTTTCCTCATTCCTCAAGCGAGAGGTGGTTTCAAATTCAGATGTTTTGTTTCTCCTCTAGAACCTTCTGCTTGAGATTGGATGGAATAAGTCTGAATCAATGCAGAGTGATTTGGAAAGATCGTTGAACTGTTGCGACTTCCTTCAGGTTGACTACAGTGGATCCTGTGAAGCTGTAAGGACTTTTATTTCATCCAAGATCTAAGGTGTAATAGTGTACTGTGCATTTCAACGACAAACAAAAAACACTTCTAGAAGTAACTTCCTTAACGCTTTATAGGGCACTCATTGAAAAGCACATTGAAAAAAAATCTTGTATGTTACAATACAAGAATTTGAACTTTTATGATGCCTGAAAAAGTAAAAAAATGTTCCTAGAAGGATGCTTAACCCAGCACTAATTGAAAACCTTGAAATGGTATTGGAGAAGACTTTTGAACATTTATGGCATTTATCAGATTTTTATGACGATCAATAAAGGGTTAAAAATTCTTGAAGAAATAGTTGTGCAGTTAAAACAAATGAGCAGTTAAATACACTACCTGACAAAAGTCTTGTCGTCGATTCCAGTTGTAAGAGCAACAAATAATAACTTGACTTCTAGTTGATCATTTTGAAAGTGGCAGAAGGTAGATTTTTCTGATGAATCATCTTTTGAACTGCATCCCAATCATCACAAACACTGCAGAAGACCTATTGGAACCTACATGGACTCAAGATTCTTTCAGAAATCAGTCAAGTTTGGTAAAGGTAAAATCATGGTTTGGGCTTGCATTCATTATGAGGGCATGCAAGAGATCTGAAGAGTGGATGGCAACATTAACAGCCTGAGGTATCAACACATTTGTGCTGCCCATTAGATTACAAACCACAGGAGAGGGCAAATTCTTCAGCGGGATAGCCCTCCTTCTCATACTTCTGCCTTCACTTCAAAGTCCCTGAAAGCAAAGCAGGCCAAGGTGCTCCAGGACTGGCCAGCCCAGTCACCAGACAAGAACATTATTGAGCATGTCTGGGGTAAGATGGAGGAAGAAGCATTGATGATGAATCCAAATAATCTTGATGAACTCTGGGAGTCCTGCAAGAACACTTTCTGTGCCATTCCAGGTGACTTTTATTATATGTTATTTGAGTCATTGCAGAGATGTATGGATGCAGTCCTCCAAGCTCATGGGAGTCATACACAATATTCATTCTTTTTTTCCACTGCAGCATGACTTTATATTCTATACTGTACATTATTTCTGTTAAATGACAATACTTTTGTCTAAGCAAAGTCAGAGCTTACTGTCCTAATTAAATCATTCAAAATCAAGGCATGATCATATTTTTTGTGAAAGGCTTTTGCCTTTTTTATATTAGCCACTTCTGATACCAAATGATCAACTAGAAGTCACGTTATTATTTGTTGTTCCTAAAACTTGGATAGGCGACAAGACTTTTGTCAGGGAGTGTATATAGTTATAAGAGCTACTGTTTTATCTCGAAATACCAAGATAATGTATTTTTATTTACAGTTAATGTAAATAAAGGGTTAGTTCACATAAAAAATTAAACCTGTTATTAATTTACTCACCCTCATGTTGTTGACCTTCTTTCATTTTAGGAATGCAATTTAGGATTATTTAGAAGAAATCCGAGAGCTCTCTCATCCTGAATAGACAGCAATGGTACTGAATCATTCAAAGTCTCATTTATAAACATGGTGTACGCACAAAACATGGATGGACATGTGTACGTCACTTCCCACGCAAGTTGTGATCTATAAAAAAACAAACTTGATGGTAGAATGTGCGCAGCTTTAAGTAAACGCATTTACCTGAAATATTGACTTAATTGAACTACTTTAAATCATCATATAAGCAAAAATCATTAATAAATAAATTACAATTTATTCTGGTGTACGCTTACTTTAGTGGCTCAATCAGAATATTATGACGCTACAAGAATATGTTTGTATGCACAATAAATAATAAAAATGACTATTCAACAGTTTTTTTCTTTTCAGTGTCAGTATAGGGCACGCTCCTTGGTTTAAAACCACATGAGGGTGAGTAATTAATAACGTAATATGGGTGTACTAATCCTTTAAGTATCTAAATGTTGACAAAATGAAGCCACATGGACAAGTGCAACTCAAAGATCACCTGAGTGTGAGATCATGTTGTTTGTATGCATTGGACTATTTTTATAGTGGCTGTAAAGATATTTACCATTTGATTTCTGTCTTCTCTGTGACCTCAGACCTGTTTCAAGGAAAAAACATGTAAACCATGTTCAGTAATAATCCAAGCATATGCTGACGACGCTCTGCAGTTTGTCGGGGGAATCAGCCTGTTTTTCAGTTTTACAGAGGTGAGAAGACGATGAACATGTAAACACGGCTAGTAAAAACTGAAAACACATTCACAACGTCAAGTGTACTTGTTTGCTGCTTTAGTTTTTGGTCCTATTAATAAATGCACGTTGTTGTTTTTTCTATTACAGATTCTAGGTTTCTGGCTAGCATACAGATACAGGAATCAGAAGGATCATCGACAAAATCCTGGCGCTTTCGTTTAACGTATATAAATATTCAAGACTGATTTATTGTTGAATGGACTTTTTTTTCGTTGTTTCTGAATCTTAATGGTTTTGCTGTGCTGTTTCTATCAATAGCAAACCCCATTACTTGATTTTTCTAGGATACAATAACAAATGAAGCGTTCTGTTGACCTTTATTATATTTATTTGTGTAACAGCCATAATGATAGATTTGGTAAAGTATAGCATTACAGATTGTGCAAGTAGGTTAACTGGGCTTGAACTTTGATCCCAATTCGACAACTCTTACTAAGATAAAGAGCTGCTAAATAAACAAGACCTTAAAAGAAACTCATCTCATTTCAGACTGAAAAAACAAACTAGCATTTCTAAGGAACCCTCATGTCTTTTCTGCATAATACAACAAACAATACTGGGCAGCACTGTGGCTCAGTGGTTAGCACTGTCACCTCACAGCAAGGAGGTCAATGGTTCAAGGCATTTTTGTGTTTGCATGTTGGTGTGGGTTTCTTCCAGGTGCTCTGGTTTCCCCCACAGTCCAAAGACATGCGCTATAGATGAATTGAATAAACTAAATTCAAGTGTATCTGTCTGCGGACTGCAAGACAAGGGTGTAACATGAAGGGTAGTAACTTGCAGTTATCGAGATCCCATTGAATCATGCGAGATGTCACAACAAGATGTTGTTGACAAGATGACTGAAATGCTTACCGGAGAAGATTTTCCCCAAATGTTTTCATGAATTTTTTCCAAATGTATCCACAGCCCTTTCATTTGATATATTATTCTATTCATTAATTTAACAGCTCCACTTACCAACTGCTTTCTCCGTTTTGTCATGACAGTTTGCCTACTCAGCGTAGCCCCCTGTGGTTGCAAATAACAGTACAATGGTGAGCATTTCAGGTATGAAAGCTGCAATTCACGGGCGGCTGTATGTTAATATCTGTGATGGTTATAGATTAAGGGTTGTGGTAGGTATAGACGTTAGTAGCTTTGATGGTTGGGTTTAAGTTTGGGGAAGGTGTAGACCAGGGGTCGAGAACCTTTTTTCAGCAAAGAGCCATTTCAGATTTTTTTTGGCAAATGTATTATTTGCGCAAGGTTACCATAGAAATTTAAGTTGCATGCCCTTTATTGGTCTCGCGATTCAAGTTAATCCACAGCACCGCACACGTGCATTGGTTAAAACTTCCTTTATTCTTATTCATTTAGCTGTAAATACAATAATTTATACAATAATAAAATATACAATAAAACTTTTATTGTATTTTCAATAGAAAACTGATTTTTAGTGACAGTTTTATTTTATTTTTTTATTGAAGGGAGACAGCTGGAGAGCCACATATTTTTGGTCAATGAGCTACATGTGGCTTCCCAGCCATAGGTTCCTTACCCCTGGTGTAGACATTAATAACGATGATTGTGGGGTAGGTATAAACGTAATAACTGATGGTTTGGGGAAGGTGTAGACGTTAATAATGATGATGGTTGGATTAATGGTTTGGTAGGTAAAATATAATAACGTGGGTCTCCATAACTTCAAGAGACGTTACACCTAACGTTCTACAAGTTACTCCCCTTCATGTTACACCCCTGTCTTGCATCTCGCAGACCAACACCATTCACTAAATTGACCATAGTGTATGAGTATGTGAGGGTGTATGGAAGTTTCCTAGTACTGGGTTGCAGCTGGAAGGGCATCCGCTGTGTAAAACAAATGCTGGAATGGTTGGTGGTTCATTCCACTGTGGAATCAGAGACTAAGTCGAAGGAAAATGAATGAGTATTGGCCATTTCCTCATCTGGGAGTTTCTGTCTTCTGCTGAACACAAAAGAAGATGTACTGAAGAATGTTGTAAACAAAAGGACATTGTCTTCCATAATATTTTGATGTCAATAGATGTTTTATCCACCTAGTTCATGACATTTTGGATTACCGCATTAAAAATACTTAATGGAAATACCATTTAGTTTGTAATGCACATTATATGGTTTAATTGTTCATTCTTTGTTTTTGTTTTCCTTACTGACACATTGGATAGAAACAAAGCTTTAATCAAAAATGTTTCATGCAATTTGCCAATTTTGCACACAAGCCTAGTTCACATATTTGGATGGCATTATAGCCTATGGCTGCTTTTTTACAACATTCAAAACATCTTGTTTTGTGTTCAACAGAAGAAATTCCTAAAAGTTTAGAACCACTTGAGTGTGCCGAAATGTTCAACTTTTGAGTGAACTAACCCTTTAAGCTCAGTTGCTCCAGACTCTAAATAATGAACTTGCACAATGAAACTTAAACTACACCCAACCCCTTTCCACATTATTCTGTTCAGGATACAACCAGGAAATTCTACATGGTCTGTTTGTATTTCCCCATATTAGCAAATGGTGTGGCACTCCTGCTTGTCCAGCTGGTTTTCCACAGAATACGTTCTGATATCCTCAAGTCTAGTGCTTCCCTCTGCTGGCTGCAGTGAAAACATACCAGACAGAGTCATCTGCATTTTTACATTACGGGAAAACACCTGCATGAGGATAAATAGGAGTAAAAAAAAAATTATTTTAACAGATTGATTTTTATATATTTTTATATTAATATTGTCCAATGTTATGCACTATGCTTGTACAATATACGGTCACACTTATTCTGATGTCCCATTTGTTGATTTTGAGTTACATTGCATCTACATGCCAACTAATTCTCATTAGATTATAAGTAGACTGTTAAGTTGGGGTTAGGGTTAATAAAAGTTGACATGTACTTGAAGGTTTTTTATTGTCAGTAAAATGTCTGTTTAAGGAGCAGTATCAACAGAGATTAAGCAGCCTGTCTACTAATGCTCAAATAGACCATCAAAATAAAGTGTTACCCAATATATCTTACTAATTTAGTGTTTAGGTTTTTGAGGTAATTTTAAGCATGTCAAAATACAAATGTGAAAAACAAAGAAGCTAAATTTTTGCATAGACGTCTTGCGTTGAATGAAATTCATATGTTGACTATGTCACTGACTTATGTTGTTGTTTTTATTCATATTAAGCATATTAATTAAACGTTAATGCTAACAACATGTTTAATTATGTGTTTAGACTGTTTAATAGCTGTTTAATAATGTCTGTTTGCATCTACGTTGAATACAAAACCATATAAATCCATTTTTAATATATATGTTTGCAGAGGTTTATATTGGTATATACTGTAGCTGTGGCCAGTCAAAGATAAAGGGGGTTTCAAGCATTAATAAAAATACTAATAAACAATAAAACTGTCATAAATTAAGGTGGTTTAATGTCTTTTTATATAAAGCTGGAAAAGTATTGTTCAAATCACTTATCTTTTTGTTAAGTTTTAACTTATTTAAAATATAAAATATGTTCACACAGAATTGTATGATGAAATAAGTATAGGTCATAAACATGATAATGATATTTCAGTGATATTTTGGTGTTTTATTTTCACACAAAAATACATTAAACTGTTGCATTTTCTTGAAATGTAGGCCTACATAAAACTTTTTGAAAATCAAAAGGACATGAACTATATTTCGATGACTCACTGACTTAAAGCAGTAACTCTAGTCTTGATTTTTATGATTTAATTACAAAGATGTTCAAACTACAACTTGCCCTTAAAAAGCCAGAACCAGTAAAATAGATTCATTAGACCTTCAGCAATAGCCGATTCTGATTATGTATGTTACACCAAAATACCAGTGGGTGGCGAAAAGTATAATAGAATAGCACCATTTAAAAATAAATTAATAATAAATACAGTTTTAAACTAAAGTAACACAGTGATATTTTAGGTATTTATATTAATTCATAATAGTGTATTTTACATGGTTTATCATAACGTCTCGTTTTATCTGCATTTTTTTAGCTATTTTAATTAGTTCATGAGAGTCGACTCAATCAGAGAGTGAATTCCAAACTGACAACAGCCAAAGAGCTAGAATCACCAAGAGGCGACACTCAACAGAACCAAAGAGCACAGAGTTCAGGTCATTGACATTCTAAGCTCTTTGATAGAACGGTCTATTGCAGGGGTGTCAAACTAAATTCCTGGAGGGCCGAAGCCCGGCACAGTTTAGTTCCAACCATGGGCGTGGTAGTGGGTGGAAAAGTGGACCTGACTACCCAGGGCCCCGTCTAGGGAGAGGGCCCTTTGAAATCCAACCAATTTTTAATTATTATTATTATTTTGTAGCCTTCTTTGAATTAATTGGCCCCTCCAATTGATGTCAATGTCATTATTTATTTCAAAATATATTGATAACACCCCCCCCACCCCCGGAATGGTTTAGTCCGCCCATAGACGGCAGCCGGCAGCAAACAAGTAACGCAGTGAGTCTAGAGCCTGATCATGCTGCGCAAAAAGCCCAAATCAGGCTTTCAAAAAAAGAAAGACAGGAAGGAAAAAGAAAGGAGGCAGAATGAGGGGAAGCAGCAAATGTCTGCTTTCTTTTCAAAAGGTGAACTGAGTTTGCTTGTTATGAAACTACATCTAATTAAAGTTAACATAGTCAACTCCAGACAGCTGCTGCTAATGCAGGGCTCGAAATTGCGACCATTTGGGTCGCATACAGTATAATGCTGATTTGTGTACAGTCATTACTAGGGAAACCCTAATATTTCAGCGCTCCTAAAGCGCCCCCCTTGTGACAGAGAATGCATTTTTATTTCCAATAAATTTTTTCAGCTGTTTATGGTCAAATTATTGCAATTATTATTGGTGCTACGCCCCTGGTTCCAACCCTGCTCCAACACACTTACCTGTAGGTTTCAAACAAGCATGAAGGACTCAATTAGTTTGATCAGGTGTGTTTAATTAGAGCTGGAACTAAACTGTGCAGAGCTGCGGCCCTTTTGGAACTGAGTTTGACACCTGTGGTCTATTGCAACAGCAGAGCGGTTCGGCCATTTTGGAGTGAAAGCGATCGGTCCAATGGATCTGATTCAGTGGCTTGGGGGGCTTAAGCCCTCTGATGTATTGTCAAAAGCCCCTGATCTTTTAAAATATGCTGCACTTAAAAACAGGTTGTAAAACATTTATTTTGTTATGCAAGTACTTAAAATTACAAAATAGGCTACATCACGCGCATTCCACTTAATGCAGCTTTTGTGTGGGGTATATAGTCAGCTGTTCAGCAGTACCTGTTTCAACCGGCAGGTGGGAGTGGGACTTGTCAAAATCTGTCCACTGCACTGTCATCAGCATTCATTATTTTAAGGAGCTGAAGCTGATGAGGTAATAATACAACTGTTTCGCCAAACTGAATCGTTTTAACTACTGATGAAGCTTAATATTTGTTTTCACAGTATAAAATGTGTGTAGTTTTGGTGAAATAAAATAACTGCAATTAATAAAACGGGCAACATATTGATGTAAATACATGAAAATGTTCATGGGGGGCTGATCTGACTGCTGTTGCGCTGGCAAGCAGCTGCTTTGTTTATTATTTATTTATTTAAAAAGCGCATTATATACGACAATACAACACGTACAGTCAGAAGACTGGTGATCATCAGCACTTTTAATAGTTTATTTTACAGACCTAATTTTTCATAAATTAACCATAATTAACTTTAATAGTTAACGCACTAGCATGAATTACTACTGACATGTTAAATTAAATTAGCATGACTTTCAAAATGAGATGTAGCTAACAGACTGACTACACTTTTTGTTGCAGTATTATGTTATAATAGTATTTTTTGTCTGTATTGTGTAGTTTAGTATTGTGTTGTCTGTTAAAGAAAGACTAATAAAGCTTTTATGTAAAATATGTTAATATATTATTATAAATGTCTCCTAAATCCAATTGAACACAAATGAGTAATTCTGAAGAGATAGTAAGTTGAGCATCTCTTTGAGCAACTCTTGAAGATTAGAAAAGATAGATGTAGCAAAATGTAGCCAGCTTGTTCATTCCATCCATAGAAGTCTTGCTGCTTTTAATGAAAATCATGAAGGCCATACTCATTTATGCCATACTCATTTATATATTTAGTATAACATTTTAACTCAAATTTAACTCAATATTTTGATTAATTCATATCAGTGCTGTTGTTTTTCATTTTTATTCCAAAATGACAGTAGCGGCATCTAACAGCTGTTTGCCAAATAGCAAGAAAGTGTCGCCTCTTGGTGATTCTATACTCTTTGCAACAGTCAAAGTTGAGGTGATTCTTAATATATGCAAATGATTAATTTATGGAATGTCGTCAGCCTCACAGATAATCGATGAAAACACGCGAATGAATCGTAACATATTTTTTCATCATTATTCAGACCTTACAACCACTTTCTAAACTACAAAATCCATTGTCCGTTTCTTAAAAAGCGTAAGCTGCCTTTGACTAAATCAAACCAGAAAAACCAGGTATGAAAACCTCATTTCTTTTGTCAACGATAAACCCTGACGTCTCAATAAAATCGCTTAGCATTGTTTCAAAACCACCTAAAGCCTCGTTAGAATTAGGAAGCAAAATTACGGCTGTGTTTTTTTCAATGACTGACTTTAGGTTTTCTCCTTGGACTTCAGGTCTGTTCTCACGGTTAACAGAGTTAATGAGAGGAAGAAGGCAGATGCTGATTAATAAAGGAGTCAATGGACACCCTGCCCTCAGGCCCTGAGATCTGTTATGATCTGCCAACAACAACAGCTTCAACACAGATCTAAATTTGTCAGGTAGGTTCACAGACTTTAAGCTATTAAACAGAAATGGCCATTTCAGGGCACCTGGATCGAGTTGTAATGCAATAATCAGCATTGGGATTTGATTAATGTTGTGTTTAATCAAACGGTGTGGTTCGCTTGGTTCACCTGGATTTAAAATGTGTTCAATAACACCATTCAGCCTCTCTGCTAGAATCACAGCCAGAATTTTATAGTCCACGTTAAATATTGTCATCGGACTGCAGTGATATTGAATATTACAGCTGTATGAATGATCATCTCTTTGTGGATTCGGTGAGTCAATAACTGAGTGTTTAACCGAGTCGAAGATTTGATTGAAAAATACTTGTAACAGGTCAGTAATTTTACAAGCATAATGCTTATAGAAATGCACAGTTAGCCCATCAACTGATGGACTCTCAGACTGAGGCAGAGAGAGTATTGCATCCAGAATTTCTTTTTTCGAAATGTATTCGTTTAGAACGGTAATCAGAGTGGATTTTACGTCATCAAATCTCTCAGTTTGGTGTAAATGATTCAAAAAGTTCAGAAGGCTTGATGTTTTTGCTGTGTGAAGAGCCTCAATGGATGATTCTGCATCTGAAAAAGCTTAAAAGAGAAATGATTTCAAAACAAGTTCAAACTATTTTAAAGGGATAGTTCAAAAAAATGAAAATTCTGTCATCATTTACGCCCCCTTGACTTGTTCCAAACCAGTTTAGAGGTTTTTTTTTTGTTCTGTTGAAAAATATTTATATGTCCACCCTGATCTCACGAGGAAACCGAACTATTTAATGCTCTGTCAGTTAAGTGGCTAATTCGATTTCCAAGCACCACTGGGGGATGAGCAAGTTATACTAAATCATACCAACGAGATCATATGAAGTAGCCACTAAATTAAAAAAAGTTACGAATTGCCGTGAGATATCGTTGGGATGTCAGTAGTTCCTGGATTCCAACACAGAGTTCAATGCTAAGCATTTTTTTTTTTCTACTGGCCCGATTGGGGAGATTTTTGCTTGCCCTGCTAAAATTTTTACTGGCCCTACCAAAAAAAAAAAAAGTTAATAGCTATTTCTTTAAATATTTTAAGAAAGGTGAATCTAAAATTTAAATATTAAAAAAAAATGTTATTAAATGTATAATAAGCAAAATTCAAAGTGTTTCAAACAAAATGGCAGTATGGAAAATGTGCAGGGATTTTATAGCAGAACAAAAAAAAAAAAAAACTGACGGCAAAGTGCATAACATCACTTACTTGCATTATCACCCACATAAATGTCCAAGACATTAGAAACGGATGTTTTCTTATAGCCTCATAATTTGATGTTGCCGCCATGTTGGCGTCTCTTCGCTGTACTGGTTGATACCAGGTTATGGAAAAATAAAATGCTCACAACAACCAATCGGATAAGAGGAACCAAAAAGCAATATAGTGTTTACGACTTCACAGAAGGTTGCATTTAAATGCTTAAAAGCACAAACTGTTTCTCAATTCTAAGACTGCATTTGCACGCAACTGACAAATAGTTGCAGGCAAATTAAACTTTAGTGACAAGGCAGCAATGGCCCGATCTGGCCAGTAACGATGCTGTCTACTGTTACAAGCGTCTGTCAAGCTGGCCCTGGGACATCGGGCAGTCCTTGTTGAGCTATTTTTTTTTTTTAAATGTACCTTTCCACACTAAAAACTCCCAGAACCTTAAGCAGTGATCTAATCATTAGTTTAAGATGTACCACAGGAAGTGCTTAAAAAGTGTGTCTACGTTTTAAAAAAGATGAAATAAAGTTTAATAACTATTATATTATACTACTAACTTTAGCTGTGTCCCAAACGGCACACTATACATACTTATGCACTTACACACTCAACAGTATAGTATATGAATGTTGTGTCGTACCAAATGGAACACTAATTGTTTTTTAAAAAGCGGAAATTCAAACTGTTTCTCTAACGATGTTTGCCAAATTAGCAAAAATAAATGACCAAATACCAAATAAAACCTGCCATGAGTATCACCGCATTCATTATCGGGAGGCAGGATAATCCAACATTATGAAGCTGCAGGCCCGGAGACCCAACCACACACTCAGACGGCTAGACCTGCACTACCTATCGCCTTCTCATACATTGCCGCCTGCTGTTTGAAAGATTGACTAATCTGAAATCAGCTGCTTATAAATTGTAACTTAAACTATCTTTATTCTAAAAAAATATTACACTTTGAATACATTATTGTATGAAATATTAAACATACTAGATTTTGTTTTAATGTATTAATTTAGTTGTATTTTTATTAATGGTATTTGTAAATTGATATTGTTTAGTTACTTCAATATTTTCAGACGTTTATTTTTTTTTTAATCATTAAGGATTTATCATGATTTCATATTGAGTTGAGGGAATGAATATCATCTTCATATACCATAAATTTCTTCACATACAATAAATTATAGGACTCTAAAGAACTTTATTATTGTGTACTTTTTCATGTGGTCCTACAAGTCTTCAAACTGTTAACAATGCAGAGAAAAATTCTGAACAACAGTAATTGGATTAGTATATTTAGTTATATTTGTAGAAAATAACACCAAATAAAATAAATGCTTTACATTTTTGTTAGAGATTTTTCATTTCTCGAGCAAAAAAAAAAAAAAAACTGTGGAAATATCTGCAGCATTTGGTGCACTGTATAAGTTTTGGCCCAAGACCCCCTTTTTAAATTGTAATATCCATCTGTTAAAAATACACATCACAAGCTAATTATTATTGCTTTAACCTAAGAGAGCTCATATTGTATATTCTATGCAGATTAATTGATATTTTGATTTCCAAAAAGCTTATTTATAATCATTACACAACTTATTAATAATTGATAAACTGTTATTGTGTTACTGTTATTGTTTTTGGCAGCACTTTCAGATAATACAGTAATACGTAGACCTACACAGCACTAAAATATATTCAAATAATAATTGCGTTATACTTTAAACATTTTATTTTAACATTTTTACTTTAAAGTTTTTTATTTTGCCAGAAAACACTGCTAGAAAATTGTCCCAGAATAGTAGAATAACACCAAAAATAAGAGCAAGCTGTAAATATCAGAAAATAATGCAATCTTTCGACACTAATTTTGATCAAATTAAAAACTGAAATAATTGTTAGTGTAATATTTTACACCAGATTGATTTATGCCATAAAACCTGGTCAATTTCAGGAATCGCTATAATAAAGTCGTGCAGTTTTGTCTTCGTTCCTGCCGCTTCACACAATCCAACAGCAAATGGCACTGTATGGGAAAACGATAGATCTGGAAGCGCAGATCCGAGTGTGCAGTTGGGTCTCCAGGCCTGCAGCTTCACCTTACTCAGATAATCAATCTCATAAGAGAACTTTGCTTTCACAATCCAAAATAAACAAGGACAACATGAGTGCCCGAAAGCTCTACCCCGTCAGCTACGTGAGCAAAGCAGCGGCTGTTGCGTGTGTGAAGTGTCCATCCTTCCACACTTATTTTTAACGGTTAAATAAGTGCATCATCTCGGAATTTATAGTGCACTTATAATATTTAGAGTTTTCAATGTGAACGCACTACTGACACTATTTATACTACAAAATGGCGTAGAAATGTGCATAAGTGGGGCGCACCTTATACCTATTATGTTGCTAGTAAGTTGTCATGACCAACACAACCAAGCATCTGTGGTTCACGGCATCAAATTACGGTTTGAGGGTGAGTAAATAATGACAGAATGTCGACTTTTGGGTGAATGATCCCTTTAAGGCTAAAACAATCATGAAAAGTGTTAATTTACCTCCTTGGTCCATCTCTTGAGGAAATTCTGCAGTTTCTGAACATGATGGTTTGAGGTGAGATCTCTGCAAAGCTACTGCCTCACATACAAGTCTAACCTTCAATCCTGGCCACAGATATTCTTTCTTATGTGCATTAATTCTTGAAATTTTCCTTATTGTGTTTGAGAGTTGCTCCATACACGTTTCATCTTCAAGAAGACAAGAATCGAACTGCCATTTCGGTCCATCTATCTGAATTTGAATGGACAATGGGGCGTGATCAGAAACATACTCCTCCTTATCAGAGTGCTTTGGCCTTTTGTGAATGCTACAAGCAGCTATGCAGGATATATTGTGACTTTTCAGGAAGAAGTAGTCCAATCTCGACTGACTTTTCCCACCAAAATAAGTGAAGCTTTTTACTTCAGGATAAAGACATCGCCAGACGTCCACCAGGCCGAAAGTTTCCAGAAATCTTTGGAGAGCACTGAGTGATTTTCTGTGACTTCGGTTTCGCAGATTTGATGTTTTATCAAGGCCTGCATCCATCACGGTGTTAAAATCACCACCTACCACCAGAAACGCGGTGGACGGGATGCAGGTTGAAAATTTGGAGAAGTCTGTAAACGTAATTTTGTCATCACTCGAGTTATACACATTAATAAACACAAAGTCATGCCCCCAAATTTGACATGAGATGATCATGAATCTTCCCTTTTCGTCACCGTTGACACTGAAACCACCACATCCCAGGTTCTTTTTGAACAAGATGGCCACCCCTCGGGAGCTTCCTTTAAATACAGTGAACATGGCCATGTAATCATTTTCTAAATCTTGATATTTGATGCTCCCCGTTGAGTAGATTCGATCAGGACCCACATGAGTTTCTTGCAGAAACACTACATCTGCCTTCAGGAGATTTAAATGATGAAGCACCTCACACCTTTTGCGGTTAAAACCATTTACATTCCAGGAAAGAATAGTCAATTTCTGCTGCTCGTCATCATTGGTTGTCATCCTGGGGTTTAGATAGATTAGAGTTTCATTAATGTATGGATTGGTATACCTAAAACAATGCAAACAAAGTGTTATACAAAACCAAAAACAGTTGGATCTCCCGATAACACACACACACACACACACACACACACACACACACACACACACACACACACACACACAAACACAAGTATAAACAGTATCTTGCTTTCGGTATCTATATTTCAACTGAGTAAGCTTTTTCCTATAAACAATTCACAAAACAAAATAGCTGAAACAATAGGAAATCTGTGAAATAATCAGATTTTGTAAAGGAAGTGTTTTATTTATTTTTAGATAACTACAAATATTTTTGAGCATAAATAAAAAGGAGTTAAAATTTCAGACCAATATTTTAAAGTCAAGAAAGAAATATTTGTAGCAGTTAATACTGATTTTCTATTAGAGCAAATAAAAACATTCGTTATTCTGATCAATTGTCATTTTATGGGAACAAAATTCTAAATGACAATACAACAAACCTTTAAAGAGCAACAACTAAAAACAAATGTCTTGTTCGCACATTACTAAATGAGTTTTAATTTCAATTTAAATGCGTTTAGACTTACCATATCAAAACAGGATCCTCCACTGATGTCTTACATGGCATGAACATTGATCAGCAAAAAAGATACTTTCTATTCCTCTTTCCGTGTAACGAATATGCAAATGAACATGACGTCATTTCAATATACGTATATTGAACATCTCAATTGTTGTGAGAGTTCTAGGAATGATTCCTGTTCCAATCACCAAATCGTCAAACAAATTTAAAACAATTGAAAACTCCAATTCAACTCCAATTCACTTGCATACTCATTTTTTTGCAAGTCAATGTATGCAAATGATTGAATGCAAATAGAATGTCAGCTTGTTCCCTCACTATACGCTTTTTTTTTTTAGCACTAATTTGATCACTAAGGAAAAGTTTAAAAGCACATACCTGTGATTTCTCTTGGACTTAGTCCCAGAAGCATCTTCTCATAGTTAATCAAAGGGGAAGATGTGCCAATTAGTGAAGAAGCTTTTAGGATAAATCAGCAGAGCAACTGCTGACTTAAACCAACCAGACAAACTGACTGACCTGGAGCTGGATCTACACATAGGAGCAATCAGCAGTGGGAGTGGCCTGACTATGCTGTACACAAAAGGTAAACATATGAAAAGCAGAGCATGGCATCATGTTGTGTCTTACTCATTCACAAAACCTGAATGCTTTCAAAGTAATGCTTTTTTCCCTCTCTTGAAGTAGATTATGCTTCATTAAAGTGTAAAGTAAACTTTCGAGTTTCTACTATTACATCTTGTTTCTTGTAACCATGAGAAGCTTGCGTTGACAAGTGTAATATGTAAACAAATTAGCTGAACATATATGTAAACACCTGCGAAGAGAAACTATATCCATAAGGGGCTGCGGGTGAGTAATGCATCATATAGGGCTGCAAAATATATATATTTTTAAAATGATCGCAATAGCATATTCAGTTTCCAGTGCAATAAAAATCATGTGCTAAGCATTTCTGTGCTGCATGGATAGGTTGTTTTCCCAAATCTAACCAATCAGATGAGGCCTTTACTATCTTTATCGCTGCTGTTGTTGTAAAAGCTGAAAATTTCACACTCTCTTTGGAGATCTTTAATGGAATTAAATGGTTTTGATGTCTGACAATCAAGTCTATCTCTAGCATCAAAATCTCCAGGCTTGATCGAGGTGTCTCACAGAAGCAGCCTCATAAAGATTTGATCTTTCTGAGAGTATATGTTTTTATGCTGAACACCAATCATACTCCATTATTGCATCTTGCATTTTTCGTAAATAATAAACATTTTGGCAGCTGGTGGTTGTGTGGGTGGGGAGTTCATTGGAAATGATGTAATCTTCAGCTTCAACATATGCTAGTGGCTGCACATTCTATGTAAAATAAACGGTATGAGGAAGTATGATTGCAATGACATTTTTCCTTTTTGCACTAATGACAAATACGGGGACATTTCACTGACGAATAAAGGATGATGTCTGCTGCACAACACAAAATAAATACCACAAAACAACGTGTAAATACGTTTGCGTCCCCTATTTATTTCCATATATGGACAATTGTAACCCTTCTTTTCCAGTGGCACTGGGCTTGTCAGATTTAAGTGTCCTTGGCAATCAAAGACTTGAAAACCCCTTGACTAAAGAATATCTTAGGTGCATTTAATTCTGTGATCAGAAAAAGTAATGTCCGAATCAGATTTATAATAGTTAACTACACTTAAATCCATATAACTAAAATCATGTTTGACATTAAATCAGGATTACTACAGATTTGATGAGGGTAAATTTAAGACTAAAGGCTGATTTATACTTCTGCGTCAAACGCCGGCGTATGCTACGGCGCTGACGCATAGCCCTTCGCCGTGGCCGTCGGCGTCACTGATGTGCACCTCTCAAAAAATGTAACTACACGTCGCAACGACGCGTAGCGTAAGCTCTGTGATTGGTCGGCTTGGTATCGCTGACAAGTCTGGGCGGGACCGAGAGCCGCGCAAATGGCGCAAGCGATTGTTTACAAGTGTGGAGTCCCTTTAAGGAGGTCCGGATGGAAAGTTTTGTTTTGTGTTTACCTAATAGTTAAAGTTGTTGCACGTCCGCCGGTTCCTGCCTCAAAATGAGCGAGTTTGAGCCACTTGTACATCCCAGAAGTGTTCAGGAAAAGCAAAAAAGCAGCGAAGAAACTCGACACAGAGAAACATTTACACCTCACTGCCAACTAGCGTTTCGGAAGTGTTAATGCAGACCGACAGAGACAGCGCGCAGAAGTATAAATGCACAGCCACGCGCGTTGCATGCGCCGTGGGTTACGCCGGTCACTTGACGCAGAAGTATAAATCAGGCATAAGGCTGCGTCCGAAATTGCCTACAACACAGTAGGTAGTGCATTTAAATTGAAATGTACTACTTGGCCGTTAGAAAAGTATGTTCAATACAATATGAATGTGAGAAGTGTGAATAGAACTCAGACATACCACATTTCGTCATGTGATCTACCCTCACTATTTGTGTCAATTCACGATTCATGAATCATGGTATAGCATAGCATCCAGAAACTCGACGGAAGTAGGTCATCAGCATTCTTCTCAAATACCGGTTCTCGAATTCTATGAACTTGGACATACTACTCGGCTCGCATACTGTTTTTAGCAAACTATATAGCATGGAAGTATACGATTTCAGACGCAGCTCAAGACTTCAAAAAAAAATTACGGTCAAAACAAATTAAGTAAAATAGACAGGGAAAACTATACAGAAATGTGGGAAACTATATGAAATGTCTAGGAAGAAGATGAGTTGTATTTATAACAGCATTTCAAAGTAAAAACTGATCTGACTTAATATTAAGGCTTAAACACTTCTGATTCAGCATCTTGAATCTCTACCTGGTGGTGGTTGTTAGAGAGGCGGGACTTGACCTGTCTATCATCCTCATGACGCAGCACAAAGCAGAGCTATGCAGAGAAGCGCCCGCAGCTATGGGGAATTCTGATCTAAAGGACAGTCGTTCTCATTTCAGTATCTAATGATCGAGTGATTTGGCGTTTGTACGCTATTAGCGGGACATTCAGAAATGACGGGGTTAAGCTCATCCAGCGCGTTCGGCGCATTCACGTGCTCTCGCACGAGTTTATGATCATAAGATCGCTAGTTATATGTAAATTATGTCCTATACATGCCTGTTTATGTCATCATGCTATTACAATGGGATTTACTCATGACAAGTGTTTTGAGAAGTCATTTGATCTGGGCTTATTGCCAGTTTTGAGTACTTCCGGTTTTAACATGCTGATTGTACTGCATAGCGAAAGTGAAACCATTTCATCACGTTTACTGCTCGGCACGATGAAGCGTTGTACTTGATGCATATATCATAATATTGTACTGTGATTCATTATATATGGTGAATTTGTGATCTAGATGACTAATTATGTTATACTGATTATTTTATTATTTCTATTTTATTGTAGAACCACACATACGCCTATACACACACCTCTTCAGTGTTCAATAAACCAGTTTGATTGACCTTAACTGCCTGATCCACTCCTGTGTTCTGATCGACACCCCAAGGGCAAAGCTAGAGAAATTAGAACCTCCTCAGAATACAATCCTAACCCAACAACCCAACAGTGGTTGTGAAACCGGTTTCTCTATTGGTAGTAAACACAGGAGCTGTGTATATATATATAATATATATAATAACAAGTGCTTAAATAACAAGTGCTATAAAATGCTAAAGAACTGAACTGCTAAACTGAAGATTAGAGGTGAAATCAAGGCCATTATCACTTATTTTTTTCTGGGTTGTGTAAGCAAAGTCTTGCAAACTCTTTCTTTTTAAGACTTTTAGACCAGAAGATGGAGCTGGTCCAGTGGAGGAGGCTGAGGGTCTGCTGTTTGTCCAATCATGTTTTTTTTCTTCTGTCAAATAAAAGTATCATGCTACCTCAAATCGATCGCTTTACAGGAAATATGCATTTAATTAATGCTCCTCAGTTATTATTATTTCACAAAATTATTGTCACAAAATGACAATAAACCTCAAGGGTCCTATTTTGAGGATCCACGCCCAAAGCGCAGGGCACAAAAGCATTAAAGGCATGTCCGAATCAACTTTTGCTTTTTTAAGTATGGAAAAATCCTCTTTGTGCCACGGCACATGGTTTAACATGTTGAGCTTATTCTCTTAATAAGTTATAGGTGTGTTTTGAGAATAAACCAGTCTCATCTCCTATACCCTTTGTGCCATAGGGCATTTTCTATTTACATGACAGACTTTGTAAGTGGAAAAACTGAGCGTTTCACTGGTAAGAAAACAGTTAAACAGAGCATCTGCAGCAGGAGAATGAGACAGGCCCAGCTCCAGCTTGGAACGTTAGGGTGGGCCAAATAAGCGCAAACTAACTTTATTTTAAAACTATTATTTGTACTGCAGACTATATTTATCTCAGTCTTTGCTTGCTTCAGTGATGTTTGCCAAGTTTTGCAAGAACCTCCAGAAAAACATGTTGCTCTCTATGAGCTATATGGGTGAG